GCTTTCCGAAAGTCGTCAGAACTTGAGAGGAAAATTTTTTGCCATTTCGGGTACTCCCTTAGATGAAGTTGTTGACGATTTAATAAAAGGGAAACTACTTTTGGAGAGATGTTTACTTCTGGGAACATGTTTCTAGTATTGTCGCTGGAGATGGCTTTAATAAAAATAGTGGCTGTTAAAACAAATTGAGTAACAGTAACAATAGCAATTTGTATAATAATTTTAACAGTATTAACAGTAGTGGTGAGGATCATAGTATTAATAATAACAGTTATACCCTATACTAAAAGCAGTAACAGTAAGGGTAACACCTTATTATAGTTATTAATATTAGTAGTGCTTTTATTCATATTATCAATGGTAGCAACTTCGACGTCATCTACGGGTTGAGCGCTGGGTACTTATTAGAATTAGGATTTTCTATAGCTCAAGAACCGCCCTTTCGCTTTTTCGAAGCATTTTAAGTAAAAAAAAAGGAGTTGTTTACTATCATGTTCTCAAATCTTCATGTTTGCATAATCTATTTTATTGTTAGTTCTTTGATGGGAGTTAATAACTTGACCACCATTTCGGGGGAGGGGGGGTAGTGTGATGTCTTGGCTAAAATATATAAGTATATATAACAATATTATAAGAATATAAATCAAGTTAAAAGAAATAATGAGTTTCGTTTTATATCCACATAAGTAAAAAAGTAAAGCATTTATGGCAAATCCGTCTTAGAAAGATCCTCCCTCCGTTCCTGGTTATCTACCATTTCTTCGTACCCGCTTTGATCTGGAGGTAGGAGTTGAATATAGGCAATAAAGCCGTTTATATACCTTTACAAAAGGTTAAAAAACATTTTCATACGTACATCCGTTTTAATTAAATTTAAGACTTTTGAGCAAACATGTTTTATTCGGTTCCATTCGAAAGTTGAGTCAAGAGTTTATAACTACTATATTTGTATTCAAAAATATTTGGTTGACATTAGAATTTTTGTTTGTAGGGAAGTGGTACACACATTCATCAGGCCAGAAAAATGCGAGTTGGCACCGACGGGAATGGAATCCACGACCTTGAGATTGCGAGGCGCTCTAACCACTGAACTACGGTGACAACTCACATCTTTAGTCGAAAAACTACGTATACAACTTTTGTTACACATATCCCTGCCAAAATGTGTAAAATCACGTTTTTTAAATAATAGTTTCTGATTTTTTTAAATGGTTTATCTTCAGATATAGTTTCTGGTGGTTTACTTTTATTTAGTGAATGTATAGGTTGTTTGCGTATATTTTCTTGATATAATTTGACTAAGGAAAGACTCCAATTCAAAATTTGGTTATTGACCCAGCTCTAAGAACGCCCTCGGGTTTTAATGCGATTGCTACGTTACAAGAATTCACATATCGACTTCTATTCTGTTACTTATATTCTTATTACGCTAAGAAGTGGCCTTAATAGTTAAACATAAAGACAAAGTTTATTATGACCTCGGGTTACAATAAGTTTATGTTAGTTCCTCACTAACTTGCTGTTTTCTCAAAGTTGTAAGAAGCATGTAAATTAAGCCGAATTACAGTATATTTCGCCATTAGAAACAGCAGTGTGATCAAATCTTGCTTTGGCTTAATATTTTTAGAATATATCTGGATTATTTAAAAAAAGGCACTAATTATTAAACCTAAACTTAACTAAAATAAACTTTATTAACCTTTCGTCAACTAAGAAGTATTTGTTTAGAAGTTTACTGTTATTAAAGAACTCATTTTTGAAAAAGCGACAAATTTCTAATTTTTAATAAGCTATTTTAGTATATAATAAATTGGCCAAATTTAAAGTGAAGGAAAGATTAATAAATAAAAATTTTTAAACTACCATTTTATATATTATAACTATTCTTTTACCAAAACTTCGTAGTATAATATAGAAGAGTTAACGCATAATTTAACATCAGCCGATAACTTTGTTTTATCAGCGTGTTACAACAGGTTGTACTCTCTAGGCAGTGACTTGGCGCTATGAGTTTTTTAAAGGAGCAAAGGGGAAGGTTTAATGGTGAGACTTTGTATTAATGTTTAGTATATTTAATAAAACATGTTGTAAGATTTTATCGATGTTGCGCTTGAAAAACTTGAGTTCGCTCTAAATTTAGTAGAAATTCCTGATTGTACAACAATTAAACAACAAAAAGTTAGGCAAAGGTCTAAATCAACTCAGACGGACTTTGAATTTCTTGGTTTACTTGCTTTTGTATACTTGTGAGTGTAACCTTTGTAATATTAGAAAAAAAAAAAATTAGACTCTCACCTGGTCATTTCAAAAATAAATGAAGTTGGCGTAAAGGATATTCCTACTTTACCACCTGAAGCTGAAGTAGATGCCTGCCGCATTGAAAGGAAGGTTTTAAATAATTTTTTTTAATTTCTTTTTTTCCTAAATTTTATTTTAGGCTTCTGAAAATTTCAAGTACTCTCTCCTGCTAGTCCTTTTCCTTACTTTTCTTATCTGCCTGGCCTTGACTTGCAGCAAGTTGAAATACTACAAACTTATGAAAGATTTGGAGACTAGTACACGAAAGCAACGAAACATTAACCAAATTCGTCAGTATGAAGGCTACTACATTCCAGAAAGTTTATTTTTATGTTAATATATATTTTTTATATTGATTTAAGTTTTTTGTTGGGAAGGTTCTAATGATAATCCAGACGTTTCCTTAAAAATTTCACTTGAACAGCATAAGGTATTGACTAAAGAGTTAAATTTTACAGATGTACAGAGGAAGCAGCTTTGGAACTATATGTGTTCGGTAATAAAAAAATTACTAATACTTTTTGTATGCTTTTTTGTAGCTTGTAAACAATTATATAATAATTTTTTTAAAACTTAAGTATGCTATAGTTTTAAAGTTACGCTATTCATTTAAATTATTTTTTACAAATGATTTCTTCTTTTTCTTTGTTGTCGTACAAACACTGAGGTAGCGTTTTGCAATGCTACTAGAACTTATAATATTAATTTATACTTAGTGATATTGTGCTGTTGATAACTTTAATAAAAACTTTATAGCTTTATCTTACGAACTTCCAAGTTTTTATCTATAAAGTAGTTTAAAGTTACTTTTGAGAAGTAATAAACAAGTTATACATCTTTGCAGTGTAGTACGGCTAAGTAAATAGGAAGCCAATTGTTAACACGGGGTTGTTTTGCAAACTCTGGAAACCCAAGAACACCATGCCCTTTATCGTTAGAATAGTGTGTAAAAGCTTGAAATATATCCTTATCATATTTATTAACCCGGGTTTCCCCTTTTTATTAGTCAAATATATTGGCCGCTAGCGTGTCTACACCGGATGGATCGGTAATCCGTTGTAGACAAATATATACACAAGCTTAACAATGTTAACTCAGTTTTTAATGACGACTGAAGAGCTCGCTATTATACATTTATAAAAAGAAATATAAAGAACTTTTTTTTTTTGCTTAATAAAGTCTATCAACGTTATTTCCCCTGTTTCAATAATTTCACTGGAAATTTTCAAGCCCGGTTTTTTTGCTTAGCAGTTGAATTATTATCTGCTTTATTCAAGTTATAACCAATTTTAAAAGTTTTGATCTTTATAATTACTATATATTTAGTTCCAAGCACTAGAGCGTGCTACTCCTTTGAATGACGACAACCTCAATCTTCGAGAAGTTTTGGATGACTTCAACGTTGAAACTGCTTTGTACTTAGTGGGAACCATTTACGTTCTATTTACGTTATACACAAAATCTATTAAATTTCTGGTATTAGTTTAAGTTTGTTGACTTGTAACGTTGCTATTGAAAGCTTCTAATCTATAGCTGGGAAGTAACACCGCTCCTACGCCTTTGGGCGCCCGGACGGCTCGTCTCCTCCCGTTTTTCCGCTCTCTTTTTCTTGTGTTTGCTATGGCTTACGTCGGCCTGCAAAACTTTAAGGAGCGAAAAGCGAATTTGTGGGTCTCGTTTGGTACCTTACGTAGATTATTTAGTAGGGGAGCGTAAAGGTCTCTGGTTTTCTTAAACCCTTCTTTAACACTCTTTAGGTACATTTTTTCTATGTTATTTTCCTGTGAAACTGCATTGCGGCTCCTGCACTTTGTTAGAACCCGTTTACGCTTCTACCAGGACGCCCATCTTGTAGCACTACTTATGCACAGCCAAACTTCTGGAGCCTTTACTCCGGAAAAGACAAGCCACAGGAGCGAAGAAGCTGATGATAAATTACAAAAGTTTTTGTGGGCCCGTGAACAGTATGCTACTTAGTCTATTTTTTTCATTGTAGCATTCAAAAAACTCCTGCTTTGTTAGTGCGGATGCTACCCACCTTCGTCATCGTCGCGGTTGGGATAGACCTCTCCCGTACTTACCGACGTGGAGGTTTCTGGACGAGTGGCAACCTTCCAAAAGAAGAGAGGTGATGTCTCCAGTATTTGCCTTGTGCTGTGAGTGCGTTCACTGCCTTGACTACGGGTTCCTCTAAACGTTTAAGAGGTCCTTAATACCTCCTTACATATCAATATGCCACCTCAGGTTGTTTACGTTCAACGCTCTTGAGTGCTGTAAACTTCTCTATGTAAAGGCAGCCTTCACCCTCTGTGCTTTTATGCTCTATCGCTTGCAGCACACGTCCTTGCTGCTATACTTCCTCATTTACGGGGCATTGACCCTCGTGACTCTATTCTGCAACATCATCGATCGCTTTGTATTGTCATTGACATTTTAAAGGTTACTTTATCAAGCCGGTACATCTTAGGCACCCTACGAGTGGCTTCGCCCGCTTTGGGTCTACGGGGTTTTCATGTACTCTTGCGTTCTGCTTGCTATCGGTAACACCATTAGCGACAATGAGGAAATCATCTTTCCATTTCATACGGCCTTTATACCTTTATTTTCTGTATCTTTCGCGTATATCCTGCTTTCCATTATGAATCCACAAATCCGCTATTGTACGCCACTTAAATATTGGCTGCATTTGCGCGCAGTAAGCTGCTGCTTTTCATAGGCACGTACAAGGACGTCATTCTTGGTCTCAGCTCCTGGATAAGGTGATACTCTCTAAATAAATCAGATTAACACATATAGTAAGGTAGACTATCCTGGTAGGACAAAATGCGGGATCATGTGCACTGGAGCGCATATTTTTATTTATACCTGCCTTTATTTGTTTTCGCTGACGAACGGCGTCTGGACGTTAAAACCGCTCTGCATTGTTGGCTTGCTTGTCGTTCGTCTTCATGCATGCTTGCAGTGCTTCGTTTTCCTCTGCCATCAACAATAACAGGGAGTTCTTATTGTCCCGATTAACTTTGGCTTCTGCTTATTGGTTCATCTCCCCATCTCTTTGCTTTTAATTTCATCATCAGTTCATCTTTCGACACTTGACCAGGTAAACAGTTTTGATAAAACTTTTTCCCGTTGCAAGAGTATTTTTTAAAGATGTACGCGTTGGATTTGCTGGAGAAAGTCATATCAGGGCCTTTACTTGAGCAGGCCAGAGTATGTATTATAAACTCAAGGGAAGCCATTTGCATTTGTCCGCCTCACCTTTCATTATCAAAGTTAGCTTTAGATATCCACTGTACTAGCGGCATTGCGGGGTTGCTCAGCTTCCTACTCTGGTTTTGGCACGTATTTACTTTGTTGTGGACCTCTTATTTGACGGTAAGCCACGTGAGATTTCATACTTATAAAGTTGTACGGCTGTCTATACATAGCTCAGGAGCAGAACAGCGCGCTACGCTATGGCCCTTTTTATATATTTTTTTCACTACTTCGTGGCTGTAGTCCTCCTCGCTGTTGCTGGTTCTTTTTTTGCCTCTTCTTGCTTTAACACTCAAGGCTGAGACATTTATTGCGTCAATAGAAAAAGAAACAAACTCGATGCTTCATTTCGTTCAAACACTTTTGGCTGTTATAAATTTATTGAGGCAACTTTCTTTATGATTAATATGACCAATAGTTTGGGTCGTTTTTTGTTGGCCTTCAACCCTCTCTCCCGTTTATGCTCAATATTGACTGCGCAAAAACCGTGGCAAAAATTACACTCCCGATAGGTTTGGCTCTTAACGTGTACATAAGAATAGTATACTTTCATTAATGTAAACTTAATAACTCAGGCAATATCACAAATCTCTTGACCGGCGAAGTTGAGTTCGGCGCGTATATGAAAGATCTGAAGAAAAGAGGCTTAAAACAGGTCTTGTGTGTAACCATAAAACCCCTACACGTCTGTTATAATCGCACACATTTAGATAAAATCGCATTTGAAAGAAACCAGTAAAAGTTTACAGCCCCGTGTGGGTATTCATTCCTCAAGTTTGTTAATCATATATTTTTCTGCCTGTTTAACTCATGCCTAGAAGAACGTATTGGGATATCTGCTACGAATCAAACGCCCAAAGCTCAGAAAAGAAAATTATTTCAAAAAAATCCGTTTCCCATATTTTGCTGGCCTCCTCTGGCTCTCTTGACTGCTCTGCGCGTACCTTTTATTGTTTATGTAAAAAGTTGTTTTCAGTAACGCTAAGTAGCTTTTATGCTGTCTCTCAGCTGGATAGAATAGCACCGCAAAACCACATTAGCCACCTTCTCACCGTTGTGACGGCCATCGTGGCCGTCTGGGCACTGATGGTGAAGACCAAAAGTATAGTATATTATTTAATTAGTTAGAAATGCCGAGGTACTGAAAACTTTTCCCCAGGCATTTGGACGGGAATATCCGCGTGTTCCGCGTGTCTTCTTTACGCGGTCTTATATGAGTCTGTCCTCTTTACCTTTGTAACCTCAACTTTACTGTACTTTCTTGTTTGGTTCTACGTGCGTGCCGCCTATCCTGCGCGTGGCAGTTTTGCAGTCGGTATATTTTAATCGTATATTTATCTAGTTGCAGTAACTATTAATTACTACAAGGTATTGTAACGGGAGTGCTTATATTCGCACATATGCACTACTGTTTGCCCCCCCAAAAGCCAAGTTGGTGGATCTTTATACAGCACATGGCAAAGAGACATATACCGCTGCTCCACTTAAAGGAGCCAACCGAAGGAAAAAGAGCTATCGCATTGCTAGAACGAGTGGCAGCTTTCTACAGCTCAACATAGCATATCGATTTTAAGTTTTATTTGTTAATATCGCGGGTTTGTGTACTCCTCAGCCAGTGTCCTTAAAACTTTGTTAAGGGGGAAAAAATAAAAATGACGCATAAAAAGTGCGAGTATAGCACATGGACATACGTTCCTCAGCTTCTTCTATATCAAACTGATTGGCTTGATAGTCTTGTGGATACCTCTTTTTAGAAAACAAAAGACCCACGAGAAAAGTAGATGCTCAGTTTTTTCAGGGCCCCTCCTTATAATTAGTACATAACACAGATGGCAGGGTTAAGAAAAGCTTCTTTTACCCGTCCCTGCGCCCGTCTCAAGACAAGTAATGCAATTAACCTCGTGTTTAAACTTCTCGCTAGTCAAAAGTTAATATGTGTTGATAACTCGACAAAGATTAGACCTACACAAAGAAGTCGGGAAAGGGCGCTTGAACAGAAACCGGCGTCGTGGACTCCATAAACATATATCTTATATAAAGGACGTATACCTTATATAATCTTGGAGGGAAAAAAGCGGATAAAAAACCTCGAGCCGAAGCCTTTGGCGTACGCAGAAAGCAAAGAACTTTTTCATGTATAAAAAAAAAGCATAAGAAGGAAAAATGTAGAAGTGAAGCCAGTAAAACTTGGCCTGCGGGTTAAAGGCGCCCCGCACAGTATACTGAGCTGTGAACGGTTCAGAAGTGTTGAGCTAGACAACTGTACATGAAAGCAGCTATTCAGCAACATAAAAAAGATTGATACTTTCGAAATTCCAGGGCTTAGAGGGTCCATAAAATCGTTCAAAGAGCCGAGTATATGTCGTAGCGTTTCTAGAAAAAGTAATATTAATACAGGTGGGAATATCATCAGCCTAAAATAAACCAGTAGTTGTAGCAAAAGGAAGCTTTATCCTGCAGGAAGACACAGGAAGACGACCGTTAAAGGTTAAGTAATCGAACAACTGGGAGAAAGTTAGCGTGCCGTTTTTATTTCTGTTAAAAGTTCACAACACTTTAAATTAAGACGGCACAATAAAAATTCAAATTATATAGGGTCGCAACCTAAAGGGCAAAGTGGCGGTATCAATAGCGGTTGCTAAAATGGCGCTGGAACTGTATAGATTGTAATCCTCAAAACGTTGAATGCGTGAGATAGCCGTCAGTAAAGATATGAGGCTCAAGTAACTTGGTAGCAGAGATCGGCAAACTCACGATATTTGTTTTGGCTAGTAAGAGTAGAGCCCCACTCGGAAGTAACGGAGAGAGGCACCAGAGAGAGGTGGGACGAGAGCGTGTACAGGCCAGACAGGGAAAGGGTCTGGTTAAGAATGGACCTCTCCAGCAAGTCCTAGGCAAGTTCATTCAACGATCAAGCAATAATATAGGATCCAGAAGACTTCGGTAGGCGCTCTGTGGGGATGGTTCAAGGAAAATATGGCGACGGGCCTCTTGCTGTACTCGTCTAGGAAGTCGGTCATGGAGGCAGTTAAAAGCCCTCCCGTGCAGTCGTCCGTGTCCGCCCACACTTGAACCCCCTGCGTAAAGACGGAGAGCGAGATTAAAAATCTACAAGATAGAGCTTGTACCATAAGATGATCGCACTCTTCAGCAAAAAACGCGCTTTGTTTTCCAATTCTTCTTTAAACTAAATACGTATTATAATATAAGCTTAAACAGAACCAGATAATATGTTGGCGTTCTAACTATACGCATATGCAAAAGGACGAAATCGAAAAAAAAACGTTTTAAGTTGGTACAATACATATTCTTAAAAATTTATTTAGACTGAGCAAAAGTTTAAGTATAAAAGTGTTAATAAAGTGGGTTTTAGTAAACTATAAAAACAAATAATTCGAAACAAAGGTCTTATCAGGCTTATGATCCTGCAAAATTATAGTAATAAAAAATCATTATATAAACTTGAAAACCTGATTTGTATAAAGTTCCACTCCTTGGAAAAAGGAGCTCAACTGATCTTCACTATTGACACCGCTGTAATGAGCCATGCTTTTTCTATGAAACTGAACTTTTGACAAATCCGTCCAAGTCTAAAAGTGAGTGAAATATAAAATCATAAAAATAAAAATAAAAAGTTAAAGAAATGAGTTCAAACAAGTTATAAAAAGTTATTGGTTACAAAGTTATATAGGGTTAATAAACCGGCTTAAAATCAAATATCACTTGCATTATGCTCTAGTTAAATAAAAAAGGCCATAGTCCGAAAAAAGAGTTGAAATAAAAGTAGATAAAAGTTCTTCTCAATTATCTAGATATAGCGGACAGTATACTATATGTATTATATAAAAACTTAATTAAAAGTTAAGATGAAACTTCAAAGTAACACGTAAATACTATTTCCTCGTTAATTTTGTAACGCTTAACAGCAAAGTCAACAGGTTCATAAGGATTAAGAAAAAATTCATTCTTAGTAAAAGCTTTCTCTTGGTATAAATTAACTTGACCATCCCTTCAGTATTTATCAGAGCAAAGAAACAAGGACATACGTAATCCAACAAGAAAATAATAAATAAAACATGTACCAGGTAGAGCAATTAGTGTTTTCTCTTCTATAATCAGGCTGATACAAAGGCCCTTAGTTAAAAATAACAAATTGGTTAACAACTAATTCCATGAAATATATATAAAGAAACATGGAATATAAAACGAGTATACCCTCTTTGTGTAATTTTGAATTCCCCTTACTATCAACAATGATGACTCTGGGTGTAAACGTCTCTAAATTCTAGTAACACAACAAGTTAACCAAAACACAAATATGAAATTCTGCTTTAAGGCAAGACATTTTGACTAATGCCTTGACGAAAGAGAACTCTGTGGTCGATATCGACATCTTCTCTTATAGTTTCAGGAAAAGGGGTATAAAGCGACTGCTTTAGTAAATATTAAATACGATAATTATTAAGGAAGACAAGGAATAAGATATTAACCTGCTGATTCCAGTAATGTGTACCTACAAAGTTGGCGTAAGAACCAAACTGTAAAGTCAGTAGTTCTCTCATACTCTTTATAAGTTGAGGTGAGAAAAGCAAAAAATTTAAAACTTTGAAATGACAGAAAATCAGTTTCCTTACAATTTTTCTATCATGCGTTTTTTTCTACAGTGCTGTAAAGTAGAGACCTAAAGCTGAGAAACGCTGCTCGTGTTCAATAGTCATATAATAAGCTGGGCTCCTCTCTTCCGGAAGCGGACTTACGAAGGACAAATACCGATTTTTTTTAGCTATTATTGAGGAGCTTCGTTAAAAGCTGATGGTTGTGATATTGAAATTACAGGCTTTTGAAAAAAAAAAAAAGTTTTTTTTTGAAAACAAGACTAAACCACTTGAGCCTGTGAAAAATTCTTTTATTAAAATTAATATTGCAATATGCTACCCTGCTCCTCAAATAAGAAAAGACACTAATAACAACGACACACTAATAACAACGACATTAATGGTAGTAAAATACAATAAAAAAAAATAATAATAATATATGAAACAAAAAAAGTAGCAGTAATAAATTTAGTATTAATACTTTTTGTAGATAACCTTAGTGACTGTAACAATCTTTATTGTAAAATTATTGGTTTTACCACCAAAAACTTTATTTTTAATAATAGCAACATTAAGTTAAAGTTAACAAATACACAAAAGATATGCCTTTTATTGAGCTCATGAAGGTAGCCTTAACTTAGAGATGAGCAATATTATTCCCCATGTCCGATGTACCTCTAGCAACGCTGAGTTACCTTCCGCGGCTGCATCTTTCTTAGGCGAAAATGATTTCACGCCTGTGGCCCTTTGAGGAAAACAGAAGTGGAATCTTATTTTAAAACTTCTGCTAGCCAACGGCGCCAACAACATTCCGAAGCCTAGGGACTCAGGTCACGGAATAAATCTATATTCGGCAACAGCAAGCGAGTGTCGAGCCGTCACTAAGCTAATGCTAACGCGTGATGAAGCGCTACCACAATTTACTGCCTACCATTAGAGGACAGGCCTTTAAAGTTTATTCTTCGCGGAATTAATTGCGATCTCGACCGCGACGTCCAAACTCCGAGGGAGATTCTTAACGCTTTACCGAGAAGAAAGGCTCCTGGCCCCCGGCTACTCGGTGTGTGCCACCCGCTTATTTAGTTGCAGATGAAATGCTCTATGATATAAACCTCTCTCCTGATGCCTATATACGGCTCGAGCCACTCATCCTAGTCGAATTATATGCAGGTTATTAACGTTTTACCGAGACGAAAGGCACCAGGCCCCCGGTGTCACCATTGTTATGTTAAAGCAATTATTAACGGTGGGCTGGTAGATAGTCTATGCGGGCTGACCAGCTCAATGGTGGCTCTCGGTCACCTTCTTATTGCGCTGGAAGACGGTAACTGTTGTGATGTTCCCGAAGACGCCCCCAACCAGCAGCTACGCCGAGCAAATACAGGTCTATCAGTCTCTTGTCCGCCGTTAGCTAAGTAGCTGAGGCGGTTATATTACGCCGCTTGAAATCTTCTATTGGCGCACGCAAGCCACGCCCTGCCAAAGTCTACTTTATATTAGAACAAGGACACTTCACGACGCACAACTCCTTCGCCTTACGGAACGAACGACCTGTGCCTCCAACTTAAAGGAGGCAACGGGCACCGTTCTTTCTTGGTGTCGAAATAACGTTTGACCGAGCTTGGTTCAAGGGCTTGTTTCACAAATTTTGCGCTTTTTTTTAACTCTTCCTACTGTTCTTTTTAACGTGGTTAAATCTTACCTTAAGAACCACCGCGTCTTTAATATTACGTGTGGGCACTGCGTACTCACATCAAAGACCAGTAACAGCCGAAGTCTGTCCCATAAGGATCTCCTCTGTCATCCCTTCTCTTTGCACTTTATGTACGCGACGGTGCCACAGCCTGATGGCACCCACACGCGGGTTGCCTTGTATGCGGATGATACGGCGATTTTTACTCCTTGGCACAATCACCTTCTCTAACGCGTCAGCATCAGTAGTACTACCTAGTGACGTACCTAGTGACGCTGGTCAACTGGTGTGTCCACGTTGGGAAATAACTATTAAGGCAGAAAGGAGCGAAGCTTTTTTTTTTTTTTTTTCTTTTTTATCACGAAGCACTCTACGCGCCCTTGGTGTTGCCCTCTCGGGGTGGGGTTCCTTATTGACAGTAAGCTTTCGTGGCAGCCGCACGTAAACTACATCGCGGCGAAGATCAAGAGGCCGGTTTAAACCCCTATATTCTTTACTTACTGTCTGAAGCAAAATCTCGTGTCACATCAAACGGCACTTGTATGTGTTCTATATCCGGTCAATCATTATGCATCTGATGCCTGGGCCTACGACACACCTGGCCGGATTCCTTCGCTTCAAGTGTGACAATACAAGTTGCTACGCCTCATGACGGGCGCGCCCTGGTTCGTGTGCAACGATGCTTTAAATCAAAATCTCCAAATTGGATCTCTGAGTAACGTTTTTTGACGCACTGATGTCGCCACCTTCGACTGGCTCAATCGGCACACCAACCGATTACCGGCAGATGAGGTTAATACGACATTTGAGATGACCGCGCAAAGGGTTCTTAATTTATTTATTGGGTTAGGGCTAGAACTATTTTTGATGTATATACTTAAATTTATTTGTATTGGATCGCATTAACGCAAGCTTAAAGCCGATGTATACCCTATCACCCTCTTGAGAGTCCGTAATTTGGGTTTTTCTTTCACGGACCCGATCGAGTACCAGGAAATAACATAAACAAATAAAAAATACGTCACTTAGAATTAAGCAGTAATTAACTGTTCATCACGCCTGTAGCATGCCAAAGATATAAATAAGTAATTAAATAAAAATTACGTCGTTTGACCTCTTTGTCATGATAACCTCCGTAGCGAAAGACAGAGGAAAATTTTTAAATAATTGAAAGGTAAATAAATCTTTTGTGACTTCCAAGTTTAAAACCCTATATCTTCACATATTCTCGATATTATAACGTAATACTCTTTCTTTACTATTACTATTATTTTTATTATAACCATAACTTTCCTTATTACTATAACTTCTACTATTTATAGCTAGTTTAAGATTACAGTGCCTATCTTAACTTTTTCGTAAAAAGGTTCAGTTTATCGTGTCAGGTATAAAAGCATGTAGTAGCTAGCTACATTCTTGAGAAAGCTCTTTTTGACTCGTATTTCTAAACCCTTAATATACAAAATTTAATAAACGATTTACATTTTAATCATCTTAGTAACGCGATTCAAGTCAACCTCGAGCTGAGGTTACCTTTAAGAGTATGGATTACTCCACAAAATCTTTCATTTTTTAAGTAAACCCCCTTACAATTTTTTGAAGGCTTATTAGGGAAATAAATGGATAAAAAAATTTTTTAAAAGCTCTCATGGTGTGAAGTATCACAAGAATAAATGGCAGTTCCTATATATCGAGAAACAGTTTGTTTTTAGCAAAAATAATTACTAGTTTAATTATTCCTCTTTATAACTTATTAACAGCCTTTTCTCGAAGGTATATAATTTAGTGAGCAAAAGACTTTCCTTCTACTATGACTTAAAGATTGGTCTGATAACCATTGGTGAGGTGGTATAAAGTTTATAAAAGAGTATTTTACAACGTGCAAGGGTGTGATGAAAATGCTTCCATCTATTGCTTAACTTCCTTCTTGAATCGATTCCTTTAATTTCTTGTTTCACTTGTCGTCTTTAGAAGCCAAAAAGGTTTTTATAAAAAAAGTTTACGCCAGTCTTCGTGGTTCAAGGGTAAGTATATTAACTCACTAGAAAGAGAAGAGCCCAAGTCTTTACAAATTTACTTATCGCAATTAAAACATTATAATTCGGCTTCACGCACGGTTTAATTAACAATCTAACCTGCTAAAATTGCTTAATAAAAAACGATAATATACCCAATTTAATTTAATTCGCTATATTGAAATATCGCACAGGAAACGAAGATCAAAGCGCGCAAAACTGTGAGCACCTGAAATTTAAGAAGACTTGAGCAATTTTTACGAGCATTAAATGGATTTCAAACCCCTTAGTAGACTATTAGGGAATAATACAGTTTTAATGGGGGGAATATCAACAACGCTTTAGAACAAAGATTTTGATATTTAGAGGCTTGGTAACTCAGTTAAGAGGATGAGTGTAGTGACACGTTATAAGATATTTAATATAAAAAAGCCTTTTATCTTTAAAAAACTTAAGGTATTCTTTCCAACTGTAAGCTATTTTTAACGTTATTTACGATTAACGGGTAGGTTCCTTTTGGTCACCCTTATGATGGAACAGGTCGCCTGATGTAGTGGTAGGTACTCTATTTACGATGTCCTATTATGGAACTAGGTTTAGAAATTTTGTCTGAACAGACAAATCTAAAAGGGGACGGATTAAAAATTAAGGTAAAAAATTCGGGAAAAAAGCAAATATGTCCAATATAAATATGAGAGTACTAGGTAAATGAGTAATATTTTTCTAATAAGCAAAGGAGAGGGTACATGGATTTATAAACAAAACATTTTATTAAACATCGTTATCAAATTAAGTTAGTAAGAATGAGCAAAGTTAAGCATTCCTACTCTAATTCTAAAATTTTTGCTAATCAAATTGTTTTTAGTTTTACGAATAATAAAGAGGAAATACCAGTATAAAAAGATGAGGTAGCAAATTTCTTTATAAAAGGATGTGGAATATAATAAAGCGTAATAGCGTCAATCATGATTGTCTAGATTGACTTAATGTGGTAACGTATAGAATATTTACGAATTTCAGTTTTAGAAAATTAAAGTGTTATTAAAGACAAAGAGGTCTAACCTATTTACCGCATTTAAATTTAGTAGATAAATTCGTATAGAGCTATTATTAGGCATGTAAAAATATCATAACGGGCCCTATAGTTGGCATCGTAGTTCAGCGGTTAAAACCATTGAAGATTCCCATCAATTCTCAAATTATTAAACCTATAAAATCGACAAGTAAAAAAATTTTAAATAGCCCAGGTGTTAAAAAAGCCAACGAGTTACAACAGTGGTTTAGTAAGTGGGTAGAAATAGGAGGGTCTAGGACCGAGTATTACACCTTTAGACTAAGGGTGCGAGGCAAAGCGCGATTCATCTTCAAAATGGGATGCTATGGTCGGTTAAGAGACGTTGAAAAATACACACCTTTCCATTCTAGCCAGCTCCCCACCCCCAACTATTAGCTCCCAACCATACAAAAAAAAATTTTAATTGTTTATCTTTTTGATTTATAATGCTGACATAGACCTCCCCTGCCATTTGCTCTTCGCCGCTTTTCCTGCTTAATCGAAACTATTTTAAGTTTGAGGAACCCTAACTTTTGAGAACACCCAAACTTAAAAGAAAACTGCTACTATCGGCCGAGCTGGAACAAAATTGTCTGGCGCTGGAGGCGAGGAGGCTAGATCGCGAGCTCCTTTTATGGTTCCGCATCATCTTTTAAGCACTGACAAACTACTAACGGGTCTTCCAAAGTTCTTAATCAAGTTAATTCGTAAGAAGTATAATAACTGTTCCGAAGTACGGGAAGACAAAGGAGAAACTTGAATCCGCACTCCGGCTTTCTTGGGGTAAAATACACCCGAAAACCACCACCTGGAGAAGCGGCCCCAAGCATTAGATTTGAGGTTCTCCTATAGGACACCGGCCAGCAAAACTACAAGCCAAACCTTCCTGACCTCGAGTGGAATCGCTCCTTCATTACTTATTAGTAATATAATATTAAAATAAAGTTTTGATATACTCTTGCGGTAGTTAATTCGGCATTATGTATCTTGTTGGCTAAAATAATTGTTAGCTGTAGTTCGTTGCGGCAGTGACTCCCAATTTATTTACTTGTTATTAACTGAACCTAGTTATACAATATTTAAGTTTTATTACAAAAATTATCTTGATAATATATTAAATGTAATAACAAAAATTTCTTTTGGAGGTAGAGTCGAACGTGTACACTTATAACGGATTAATCGCACCCAACTATGGGCGTTCTCTTTTGGAGTTCCGGTTAATTCCGACAGTATATTATTAGGATCATGGGTATATTTTAATAATGTTTTTTGTTTTGTTAATTTTACAGGTCTAAAACAAACAGCGAATGTAATATAATACAGTATACAAGGCATATACATTATAGCCTTTAATGAAATATAAATAATTAAGAACTTGTGACACTGCAAAAATTGATTAGGTGTGTTAATAAAACTATTTTGAAGAATATCCAACCCTAATGGAAGTAACAAATAATAATAATAAAAAAAGTAAAATAAAAGGATTTACCATATGTTTTATTTCTTACAACACCAAAAAGTGTATGAGCAAGCTTTAGGGGTCAGGACAATTCATTAAGTATTAAGCTTTAGCACTATTTCATGTTAAATAACGGTATTTTTATCAACTTCTATATTTAATTACCATAAATGGCCAACAAATTATATTACGGAGGTAATATTAAACTAAAATATGGGCCGCCTTTAGAAGGCGGATATCATCAAGGCATCGAGCTCAAAAACCATTTTACTGTTACTCTTTCACAGATGTTACCTAAAACATTAAATCCCTGATATTAAACCTCATTAAACTTGCACCATACTAATTTTAAGAGCGTACTAATAAAAAAAATTTATTATAAAATTAACCTTCCGTTAGTGTCGCGGAGTATGAGTACCCCAGTCTTAGGTGATTTCCTCACTGAAAAAAGCAGTCATTTAAAAAAGACTTCGGTAGAAATTATTTAAAGTGTTTTAGATTCAAAGTAAAAGTCCCTATTTTCCTGATACTGACAGAAACCTTTTCAAAAAATTAAGAAAATTATTTGCAAAATAATTAAACTACTGACTATTTTTTTTAAGGGAAAGTATATCCCATACCCCACCACAATCATGGTGCCACTATTTTCCAGTGCACCAACGGAGGGTTACTCAGTATTCTTTCGTAAAAAGCTTAATACGCCTGCAGTATTATACTTTTAGACGAAATGTTAAAAGGCTTGGGATCACCTTAAAACTACTGTTAGCTTACCCCATTTATTAACTATAGAGGTCCTTACAAATAGCTTTTCGGTGTGATAACACAGATAGGGTGGTAATATACTCTTATTAAAAAAATATCCAGCAAATATAACTTGTTAGTAACTAAAGTTCAGTCAAAAGCTTTCATTCTCTGTATAATTAGTAAAAGAGAATGGTTTAAATAAGATTCAAGCAACCTTAAGAGTATGGTTGCTCGTTTTATAAATATTATACAGGCTAATAAAAAAAATTAATTTTAATTCAAAAACTATAGTATTAGTAAAAAGAAGCACCCTTAAATTTTGCAAAATACTGCCTTAGCACAAGGTATACTTGCTGAGGTAGCTATTTTATTATTTTAACCGCTCGTCGCCAGTCTGGATTTAAGTATTAGCCTCAAGCTTATTAGCTTATGATAAACTAGCCGGAGGCAACTAAGAAAAAAAAATGTGTATATTACTCGTTGGCAATAAATGCATCATCCCCCCAAGTTACGCTATGAAAGCAGTTGTAGGTATTCTTGGCGAAGCCCTTATAAACAATAAGCGGGGTATGCTAATTGCCTCAAAGACAGCAAATATTATACTCATTTAAATGTGCACTAAAAAAACCTCGCCGGGTTCGATAAGTTGAAGAATTTGACAATAAATTAGTAGAATAGTGTTAACAAGTGCTTTTGTGGCAAAAAAAAATCGCAGCCCCGGCGGAAAACTTTTATTTTGTAAGTAAAAAAAAGGAACATTATAAGACTATAAACGACCAAAAGCCCCTAATTTTTACTGCCATGCCCATTTAAAGTTAAATGAAATAGCGTGCGAAAAGAATTGCGTTTCCTTCTTAATTTCAGTTGAAATAGTCTTCTTAGGGCTGCAGTGTTATGTAGTTCAGATTCCTAAGGTGTGATATAAGGCTTTCGTACGAAGTATGTATAACTGTGTCCGTTACAAGGAGAAGAGCGTTTTGATCCAGTATTAAGCGATGCAAACTACGCCAGTTGCAATGCTTGTAACAGTCCCTTGTAGCTAGAAGACACGGGGCCAGGCCCCCTTTTCTGGAAGAATCTTCTCTCAATGTCGAGGGATGTAAAAAACTTGCGTGTGCCGCACTGGAGCTTCCTATACATAGTAAATATAGTGAAATATTTAAATCCTGAAAACGCTCGACTGTTTCAATGTGATAATAATTCAAGTAATATATAAAAAATAAAAAATTTAGGGTTCAAAGTTAACGAGCTATTAAGCAAAATAAAGTTGTGCTAATCTTAAAAGGAAATAATGTTATAAACTTTCGTACCTATAAACTGCTGAAAACCGCATATTTTATTTTTTTCATTCTGCTAAGAATAGTATTGTGAATTTAAAAAAATAAGAGTACTCTTTATAGCACAGTAACAACTTAAACTTGTGTATGAAAAAATCAGCAGCAAACTTTAAAGGCGTTATGAATTAAGCAACTCCGCTTTAGTAAACAGCACTTTCCCTTCCTAAAAAAGAATTATGTAAATGTAAAACTTATTATAAAAAAAAAACTTGATGAGATGGGTCTCCTGGCCACAAAATCTTTGTTGTAAGTTATCATGCACTAAAGGATTAGGAAGACTATCTTCCACTTGAACTCTCAAAGCCTATTTATATTGCATGTGAAGTACGACAAATTGGTCATGGACAGCTAAACCTTTCGATAACACTTTTTATAATGACAGTGCCAGAGAGAGATGGACGCAGTGTAGCCGCACAAAATACAATCTAAAGTCTTGCAAACGCTTTAACAACAACAAATCTTAATTAAGAAAAGGAAAAAGAACTGAGTCGTGCTCTGATCGACCACTCTTAGCTAGACTAAAATTTGAGTGGCACGAATCGAGGCCACACTCCAAGTTCCACTTCACCCTCCTCATTTGAAGTCGATGGTTGTTCTCCTGAAGCCCCAACTTATTTTGTTCCTCGTAGTTCATTAATTATAACTCTACTGAACTATATATATAAGAAAGTCAAGATCACGGAAAATACCTCGCTAAAAGGCCCTTCACTTGACTTCTGCCTGTTCTCACCCACAAGCTTGTAAGCAAGCATAAGTGAATTAGATAAAACGCAGTTTAAACTGCAATATTTGCTATTATTGCCAGAAACGAGGGAACAACTACCATTTTTGCATAATCTGGGCTGTTAAAAAGAAAGCTATCGAAGCTTAACAAATAAAATTAAATTAAAAAGTACCTTCTCTTTTAATTTCAAACAGGATAGGAAACGGTTGTCCTCTATATATTAAATTTAATTAAAAAATCAAATGAAAAAGGTCTATTTTTACCAAGGCAGCTTTTACAATAAAACTTTTCGTACTCATAAATTTCGTTAGGCTCAAGGCCCAAGCAATCGGTATGAAACCAGTCGTCACACCTGGGAATTATAGCAATAAAGAAGTCCAAAGGCTTTAGAAATATCCCTCAATATTTTAAAAGGTAAACTGCAAATTGCCGTATAATAAGGGAACAAAAAAGTAAAAATTATAAAGTTTAGTTATAAAAAAATTTTTGAACAGTTACTTATCACAAGCAATCATCGCCCTAATACCATCATAAGGCTTTTTGCATAGGCAATAAATAGATTCTTGCTGGTTTTAAAAGATTAAATGAGCAAAAAATACTTATAACAATACTTTCACAAAGACGATAAAAAAAATGAGAACATCTTTTAGTTCAAGAAAAGCCGGCTCTGTCATAGAAAAGTAAAACAAAGTTTAAAATAACGCCCGCATGCAAAGAGCTAAGAGTTTAAAAAACACGTCCTCGACTTCTCAGTTCGTTGGCCAATTTAGCAGCACGGACGCCCACAGTGTTAATCTTTTTAAAAAATGACTGCCCCGAAGGGGCTGGAAGCCCCCCTCCCGCTGTTCTGCCTAAAATAGTGGATGCCATTTAGTAACAGCGTTAGGAGAAGCGGTGTTTATTTAATAAGTAGTGTGAGAACAATCACTAAAACTGCGTGCTGTTAACAGCGCAATATACCCAATAAGTGTTTATAACCTATATATTCTGTTTTATAACCCCATGACAATATTTTTATTCGCTTACTACGCCTAGCTTGTTTTTCTTTGGTAATTGATTTTCCAGCATTTTTACTGTTATTGCTAACTGTCCCACTAATTTTTATATTTTTTAATACAAACAAATAAAAATTATGATTAATAATTGTATCGTGAATAATATGAGCGTAAATTTTAGCAACCACGGGAGCCTACAAATACAGAGCCCTCTAATTTCTCATACTGGAAGGGCGAAAGACAATAAGGGGGCCACAAGAAAACACGAGGTACCGATACAGCATTCGAATCCTCTTTAGAGCTTCGTACCAACAGGAAAGTTATTGCCTCCTTTAATTTTGTTTTGTGGTCGGATATGAGAATAACAGCGGAACTCATTGAGGAGTCACCACAGTTCCTAAATACTCTACGTGACAGGGAGCTAGATTTAAGAGGTCAATTATTTTATTTTTGGTGGTATAATATTTATTTTAATTTCGCTTTTAAGGCAACAAAGTTAGCGCTATTGAGAATCTTGGAGCTACTTTGGTGAGATGCTTAAGACTTGACTTTTATACTAAGAGAATAAAAACATTGCCCTTATAATGATATATAACTATACCTATAAATTGCCGTTTCAATTTTTATTTACGTAAATGAGTAGCAGGAGTTATTTTAAATTATGTAGTTAAGGCGCAAGATTTATTTTACCTTCTATATAAAATATACAGTTTTAATTTTTAATTAATTATTTTTAAGGATCAATTTGACACGATCGATCTTTCTGACAATGAAATTACCCGTCTAGAAGGATTTCCACAACTTAAAAAGCTGAAAACTCTTTTTTTAAATAATAATAAAATACAAAAGGTACGACAGTCTTTATGCTTTTTTAAGACTTATAAGTTATTTATAGCTGCATATCAATATTTAGGTTGATGCTAGCTTGCATGAGAGGCTACCTGGACTTGCAGAGCTTATTTTGACCAACAACAACCTTCAAACTTTTACAGATATTGAAGACATCTCCAAAATTAGCTCCCTTAGAAGACTATCGTTATTGAAAAATCCGGTTGCCTATAAGCCGAACTATAGAGCTTATGTTATTTATAAAATTCCCCACGTCACTGTCCTGGATTTCCGAAAAGTGAGGCATCAAGTAGGTGAATTTTTATAAAACCTTGTTCTTGCCTTACCCCTTGTTTGAAACCAACTTGCGTAGGAGCGTCTTGACGCTAAAAAACTTTTTGGGGGGGAAGCTGGTGAAAAGCGGAAGAAGGAGATGCCCAACCAGTCAAGTACCGCCCAGCGAAGCGTCAAGAAGCCTACTCACGAAAGGCCTTTCGCTGAGCAGATTTCTAAGATAAAAGTTTCAATTTTTACTTAAAAGAGCTAAGCCAAACACTTATATGCCATGTATAGGCTGCCATATTGAAAGCGAAAACCCTCAACGAAGTGAGACACCTTGAGGCTCTTTTGCAGGCCGGTAAACTTCCCGAGGATGTCTTAAAACTAAGCCAGGATGGCACAGAATAGCCAGTGTTTTATGTAATGCAGTCGTCGCTAGCCAATCTCTGTAGTCTTGCTGTCCCGCCTAAATGTTCCGAGCGCGTGGTTTGCCTTTCGTATGTCTTGGTTGACCGTATAAATAAATATAGCTTTATTAGAGCCCTTTTTTATTACTCTTCTTTTAATTGCGCTCTTGCATCCCCATAAACCAGCTGCCGTGCCTTTTCTGAGATCTCCCCTAGGGCTGCGCGGGCTAGCTCCTCGGCCACACCTGCATGAATGCACTTTGTTAGAAAGAGCCGGTCTCACACATCGATCAGTCGCACCCAAAAGACGAAGTTTTCGTAGTAGAGCAAAGCAGACGGCAATGCTAATAGCGAGAAGCAGTAGCATAAAGTTGAGGGGGTTGGTGGCCATTTGAAAGAGGTAGACAAACTCGTTGTATCCAAGGACTAGTACCAGTGCATACACCCAGAAAGGGATACTCCTTAGTGACATGTTTTGCTGTGGGAGACGAAGGATGGGCAGTGAGTGGATGGTGTCATCTTATAGCCGAACCCTTCTGATCTGGCAGCACTCCTGGTAAATCGGCCGGATCTCATGCAGAAAAACGTTCCTCACTCGTAAGATTTCTGCAGGGGAGAGCAGCTCCACCTTGCAGAAAGGGTTTAAGTTGATTGCCCGTGTCTAGACTTTAAGGCGGATGGCTACCTTCACCCCCTCATCTCGGTACTCGAGGGTCATGGCTGAGAATAGGGCTAAGTACTCCAAGGCCTTCCGGGTGAGAGAGTTGTAGCGTAAGAGAAGGCATGTCAGCGCGTACGACCTACCTTGTCCCTGGCCGCCTTGTAGAGCTCGGGGATATTATCGCCCGCGCCCCATGAGCGGGGGACATCCGCAGCGTCGTACTTGAAACTCTTCTCGAATCTTTTGCAACGACCGATTAGAGGACTTAAGAACAGCAAATAGGCAGGTAGTTCGCCTTACATTCTGACCAAAGTAGACGCCAGATTCAACGTGCAGTCCTTCGCCTTTCTTTGAACCAATTGTCTGGCTCTTTCCTTCAAGTCCTGAAAAGCGGTTTCGATTGCAGAATCTGAGAGCCCTGTCCCTGGTATGGTCATGAGAAATTATTTTGAAAGCGGTTGTTTTCAACACCTTTTCCATGAGCCTTCAGTCGGATGGAAGTCTCGTCTAACAAACGAGAATATTCCTGTGAGACTTTGATCCACATGTCTCGCGGCGCTTCAGTCATTAAGTATAAAATAGTGTCTGAAATATTTTCCTCCATGGCTCTCTGAAACCGACGACGAAGAGCACTGAGTAAAATGTGGAATCTCGCCAAGCAGCTGGAAAGCCCGCTTACAGTTTCATGGTCCACGATATTGCGGGTTTGCAAAGTGCGGAGCTGTTCTAAAATTTCTCCGGTCTGTTCGCCCAGCGCAGTTCGGCGAGATATGTACACGGGCTCGTGGTACAAAGAAGCTGGGCCATCGTAGAGCTCTGGCGGGATACACCACGTGGTCGTGATCAAAAGAGTCACACCACAGAAGCGTACGAAAAGCTTCCACCAGCAGTTCGCTAGTCTCCTCCAAAAAGGTATTAACGACCACGCCCTGGCTTAGACGGTCGCGAAGGCGCTCCGCCCCAATTCGAAAGTTTGCAACAGCTTCCTTTTAAAACAAAATAGCGTATCCCACATGGATTGTTGGGCATAGCTCTGCACTGAAAGTACCGACATAAGCTCATCGCAGCGACACGTGGCCAGCATTTCTTTTAAAGTTGGCAGGTCCAGGTCTTTGTTGTCTATGATCTGCTCCTGTGCATTAAGGAGGGGTGTCGCATTAAAGATCCATACAGCAAAGCCCCACCGTCACATACCCACACACGGGCCGCGTACTCAGAAAAACCATCGGCTGGGATCCGAGTGAGGGCAGCTTTACTTAGTAAGTAGCCCTCGTCTTTTGGATCCTCGAAACTTTTAAAAGTATTTATGTCCATTAAAGTCTACTGGCCAAGAGTGCCGCAAGTGAACCTCTTTCTTAGTTCAGAAACTTCTTTTATAAACTCGTCCTTTTCAAAAACATAGCTCGCCAAGCAGACAAATTTAAAGATAAAGTATTCCTCAATTGCAAAGTTTAAGGCGTGAGAAGGCTTAAGTAAGAGGTATCAGCCTCAGCGAACAGAGTGGATTGGCATACTTCTTACCTTTTTGATATCACTTTCCCATATTGCCTTCAAGTCTTCAACAAGTGTTCTTTTTAGCTGCTCGAGTGGCGTAAGCTGTATTAATAGCGCAATGAATTGTAGGCTAAAAAGGCTAAAAAGGAAATTAAAAACAGACTTGCCGATCCCTGAGGCAAAAAAGAAGAAGAGTTTTAGGGGAACTTCGAGCAAAGAAACATGTTGAGATAAACGTAAAATAAAAATTTAAGTACAATACTCTGGTGTGCAAAAAAGATTTATGTGGAGCTCAAAGACTGTTTTAAGGGTATCATAATTGGAGGCACTGTAGCGGCCTACATCGTGGCACCATATGTTTATTATAAGGATTCCTGAGAGGACAAGGGAGAACAGAGCGCTTTTCCTTTCAAAGTTCTTTTTAATAATTATAAGTAAGCGAGTTAAAAAGTAGAAATTTACTTCGATAACAAAGAAGGCTTAGAAAATCAAAGTCAAAAAAACAATATATATTAATAAATTTGGATTATAAAGAAATTGGTAAATCACACACACTCAGAAAGACAAAGTTTGTTAAACGCATTTATATACTATATGTTGTTCTCCGCGTTCTTTACTGTCAGTCCCCTCCACGTCCATTATAAGACATTTTTTTTTTGGGTCATAGGCGAGCCATAAACCTTAAAATAAGATATAAAAACGGCAATTTAGAGTGACCGGCAACCATTATAAAAGTTTTTACATATTAGTTAGCTAAACTAAGCTCACAAACCTTTTGTAGTTTGACTACGAGTTGAAGGATCCATTTGAGGAAAGGAAGTATCAAATAGATAGTTAAGTAATGTGCTTTTGCCGCCTGACTGAGGCCCCAGAATGCTGATAATGCTATACTCAAACCCAGACTTTATAAAATTTTCCCAACTAGAAATCTGTTTTTGTAAATTTTCATTGAACCTATAGTCTTCATCTATTATCTGAATCAAATTATGACTTGAATCTGAAAAATAGTTTTTAATTAATACTAAGCACAACAATAAAAATAGTAAACGAAAAGAGCTACACTGAAAAGTTATCTTTTTTTAATGACTATTTTATAAACCTTATGAAAGTTGTTGTGCATATATTATCATAAACACAAAGTATTAAGAATGTAAAAGCTAAACAATAAATAAGATTCATTAGCAAATCATACCCATAGCCCCCAAGAGTTTAAACCAAACGAGAAAAAACAACTTAACTACGTCCTTATCACCAAAGTGTAAACTATTGGTGAAGGGCAGAACCCTTCGAGATTAAATTAACAAAGCTAAGGGTATTTTATCCGAGAACCTATCACAAGAGGAGAAGAGAGCTGACTTGAATTGTAATGGTCTTATCTAAACATTAAGGCCATCATCTCTTGGAACTCGTTTAATTAATAAATATAATTCTGAACCTTGAGAACTGGTAACTTGTAGGGGAAGTGGAAATTAAAATTTAAAGTATAACTTATTAACCCGTTTGAATATTCTTATAATTATTAATTTTTTAATTAGTATACACTTTGTCGTACTATGTACAATCTTTACAAGAACTAGTGCATAATTTGTACTCCCTATTTTCGAGGGGCTGAACCCGGCTGAAAGTTAGCGGACCAGCCTTAAAGAGACGTAGTTATGAATAAAAGAACCCAAAACTAGCTTAATAAGCTGCAAGTCAGATTTTTCCGAGTGTTAGCCTCGCAGACGAGTTTTTCGAAATAACAGTTTTAGATGACCCAAAGGCAAAATAAAACCAAAAAAAAACACTCGCCAAACTAGGAAATTAAGCTGTAAGCAAATTTATTGCCACGACTATGTAAATTTAATTGCAACTTACTAAGTCGATAATAACAAACGTATATTGTGTTCTAGTTTTGACGTGTTGTCTTCAGCTTTGCATTTACATATTGTATTTTGCCTGGTTTTTAAAAATAAATGGGTTATGTTGCGTTTATTAACCTTTTTCTTTCTTACGAAGGACACATATCTCACCCCCTTTAGTAATTGGGTAAATCCAGGTTGAGCAGGCAGTATTTGCTATGCCCATATTAAGGGTTCAAAAGGTATAATCTTGATGCCTCTCCCCTATCCGCTTCATTTCTAGTCATTACTGAGCGATCTATGGTCAGCTGGCTGTAAAGTCCATTTCTTTCTCATTTATATAGTTTTTTCCTCTTTTTAGTATCGTCAAACTACCTGTCTGTTATTTTTCATTTTATAATATTGATTATATTTTTCATTAAGTGATTTCTGCGTTAATATAAAATATAAATTTAATTTTTTGAACAAAGTGTTTTACGGCTTCTAAATTAAAAAAGGATTAATTTTAATTTTATTTAATTTAAAGAATTTTAGTTGCTTGTTAATTTTAACCTAATAAAAATTTTTATAACTTAAAAAATCAGTTTTGCGATTTTTATGATATGAAAAAGAATATATAATAAAATATAATTTATATTGAATATTTTTTGGTTTTTAGCTTTATTAAGATTTTTATTATGAATAATAATTGTTTTCTTTTATTTAAAGTGCTTTAAATTTCTCAATTTTAAAAAATTTCAAATTAATTTGTTTTCGTTCATTGCTTTATTATGACAATTAATTAACAAAGTTAGTTTAATTTTTTAATATAAAAATTTTATGGTTTTAATATTAATATAAAATTTAAAATTAAGTTAACTTAACTAATGTCAAGGTGAACCTTACGTCAGCTTTTTATAGTAGACAAAGTTTGTTTTTTTTTTTATTATAAAGGCTGTTCTCATCTGCGTTTGCGTTATCTTCTCGTATCGGCCGCTATAGTGCGAACCTTTGCTTATTTTATCATGCTGCTTCGACGTGTCCAATATAATGCCAAGAAGTGCAGTAGGTGTTTCTGGGTTGCAATATTGTTAATGGTTGGTTCGCTGCATCAGTAGCACCACACTCCTTTTCATTGCGACCAAGTTTTTACAAAGCGCATATCATGAAGTTTTTTTTTTTTCATAATGGCTTACAGATCAGGATTTTCAGAGCATTTAAAACATTTAGTGAGACTCATTGTTATTTTTAATAATGTTGTGGCTAGTTTGTTTTCGGTTAGTTGGTGCTTGTCTAGGTCCTACACTTCAAAAGCACTGTTTACAGTGCCAGTTTTCGGCTTTTAGTTATGAAGTCAGTGCAAATATAGTCTACACCCTCTTTGTTTTTAGTGTGGTACTGTTAATTAGATTGCATCACATTTGTGCTTCTCACCACTTCTGTATATAAAAATTAATCCTTTTAGGAGATCCGTGAATTTTGGTAGTTAGCAGAGCACATTGTTCATGTATCAATGCTGCTATTTGCCCGAGCCTATCAATGTAATGCAAGTCCTCATACTTCAATCTAGTAGCGTTGAACAGCTTCCTTAGCTTGGTCATGAGAGTAACTAGTGATTTCTCTCCGAATACATTCCTTACTTTTTGTATAGCTAGCTCAGTTTTGCATAATATCTAGCTCTTTAAACCTAGCCTGACGTTTATATGAGGCTGTTCTTTATAATCATTTTAACCTGTGGCAGTACCTTAAAAATTGGTCTCCTCCATGAGGAATGTGTATAACATTTTCGGTAAAAAATGGTTCTGGGTTTAATCCCGTGACCTATTCAAAAATTTCCTTCTAAAGATACTTGCCGTGGGACTTTTTGCTCAGTTAGTCAAAATTTCGTGCTTAGAGCGTGATAAAAAGTAAAAAGTGAATTGAGAATGTCGCTTTTAATTAATCAATAAAGAAGCGCACTCTATATAATATTTCTTCGGATTCTTTTAACAGTTGAGCTCCTTGTTTGTAATTATTTTTGCTTAAAATTTTTGGGTAGAAAATAATTAACATTTTCTCGCCCAATGATTCGTTTACCGATATTACCTGAAAATTTTGAACGCCAAGAAGTGAACACCTGTTTTAAGGATGTAGGAAGACATTTATAAAGATATCAAGTCCTAACAATTCCTGTTAATGTGTTTCATGTTTTGTAATAAGTTAAATTTTTATTTTTTTAAAGACAAAAAATAATTAACCAAGGCTATGGAAGCTTATTATTTATATAGCCGTTAACCTAGTTTAAATAGAGCGCACTTTAGGCCCATAGAAGACATATCCCGTACATATTCCATAATAAATGTGGAAAGCTTTTATCCAAGTAACAGGGGATTGCGGTACCTTCAGTATAATGACTTGTGCTCTTTACATATTTACAGCGTTTAGATGCTAAAACATGAAAGCACCCAGATATTGTATCATTTTCATTATTTATAATTATAAATTTGAAATTAAGAGTATGAATGGGTGTCGCAGAGATTTAAATATATTTTTTCGAGAATTTATACTCTTATAAAAACAAAGTTGAAACGAATACTTACGAATCACAACTATTAAAGACCAAATTTTAATTAGAGCAGTATCATAAAATTCCAAAATATGTAAATAATCACAGTGCGAGCACGACATAAAAAGATGAAGAAACACCTACATATAGCAACATAACCATTCCCAGTATCACATAGGCTACTACTTAATAAGGAAATACTATGGATAGTAAAGTAATAGTTGAAAAACAATCTCAGCGTAACATAAAAAATTCGAGACATAAACAGTATTAGTAAACAATAAACAAACCTACTGGCTAAGAATCAACTAAAACTCATAAACATGAGATAGATAAAAGACGATAGGCTTAGACAACACTTAAGTGAACTACACACGAAAGCAAGACACCATTTAAATACGTACCATACTAAACTTGCACAATAAATTAAAAAAAAACTAACCAACCCTAAGAAAGGCATGAACAGCACAAATAAACTTAAACATACCGAAAAATACTCTTAATTAGCTATAACTGAGTCAGATGTGGGCATTCTTATGAAATGAGACCTGCTACTAAAAGCAAACGATTGAATGCATGACCTAAGTGCCAAGAGAAGCATGCTTCAAATTGTACAAGATGTATATATTATCCGAACGCACCATTAAGCACTAAGATTTCGATCTGCTAAAGCTTTAGAAAATTCAAAAGTTACGTTGAAGAAGATATAGACTTTGTACAGCGTTAAAAACGAAGCTTTTTACCTAATGCAAATAATATGTCTCCCTTAAATGAAATGATAAATAACCTTGTAGCAATTTTCGTACTAATGTAAATTTTTAAGTTGGGCAAACAAGGCTCGCTCGCAGAGTATTAGTATTAAGGCATGGAATGCCGTCGACACCCGTTGTAAGAAGCAAAAATTACAACCTATTGGACGGATGAACTTGGATATACTTCTTATCTCTGAATCACAACGAAATGAAGGTAATCGTTTTCGAGTACCTAACAAATTAATTATTAGGCACTTACAGGAATACACTAAAGGAGCTAAGCATTCTACTTTTTTCGACCCGCTAAATATTGAAACTGGTGATGTAAACATAAAGCTTGGTCACAATGACAGGAGCGGTCTAAATACCGCTTACAGATCTCACGACAAAGTTATGCTAAAATTTTATATTGACAAGATATTTGCTGTTCCCAGCATCTTAATAGCTGGAGGTTTAAATTTTAAAAGCCTCGGTGGAGTAGCAATCGTAGGAAGAAGTCTGTCGAACTAGCCGAGAGAAAAGACAATCCGCTCGTCGCTCAGTCAAACAACTGGCAACGTCTTAACATCACGTTATCACGCAATATATATGTACCTGTCACTGTCAATACGCTATCCTAACTCTTTTCTAATCACTAACCCAGACTTATAGAGCTAGATGCGTTAGAGAAGTAACTGGTTGGTCAATATGTCGGGAGCATCTGGACAAAAACAGAAACTCCATCTTACATTACAAAGAGAAATCTTTGAATTAGACGCGGTTGTCGTCCCTAATAAAAATAGCTATTACGAAGGCTCCAGCTCATTGGAAGGATGAACGAACCAATAGTACAATCTACCAGAACATATTAGGTCACGAATTGGCAAGAAGGTGGAAATTGAGAGTAAGAGATATGATCTATCGCTTTCCTAGAGTTAATATAAACTTTATTACAAAAATAAACAACGTAATTAAAGAAGGGGAGATTTGGCTAAGGTTATATTTAATTTATTTAAGCTGTAATGCTACTAAATTTAAGTATGCTAGGATATTATTTATTATTGTAGTTATTAATTGTGTTCTTGCTTCTTACTTGGTATGTTTACTATTTAGTTATGATGATTAGCTCATTCATTTTTGTTGATGGCACAATGACTCAGTTTAGAAAGGCGTGTCTTTCGCACCCTCACTTAATAGAAGGGAATTAGATTAAGTGGTAAATGTTGTAAACTAGGAGTTTATGCTGCGTTTGAGCCCTTGTTTTATTTGCTTATGCGTACTTAGAATCTCGATCTATGGAGTCTATTGGTTTATTAGTCTCTTAAGCGCGATGTCGTTTTGATCTAGAGGGTAAAATGGGTAAGTAATGACTTACTCTAGAGACTATGTAAATAGTCCAATCGTCTAGAGAGTAATCATGTGCAGATGTTGCCTTTAGTCACTAAAGGAGTGGAATAAGAACTGAGAGATCACTTTCATCATAACCAGGTAACGAAGAAATTTTTAATAAGTTAAGACTTTATTTAAGCAGTTGATACCTTATCAGGATATATTATATACTTTTAACGCTTCTAAGACCAACTTAAAAAGCTTTATGTTAAGTGATGCACTTATTAATCAAAAGAATTCTTTGCGATCCCTCTGCTGATGTTTCTACCGCTGCTAGTTGTGAAGTACTAAAGTGAAATTCATTAACTAGTGTAAGAAATTTTTTTTGACTAACTCACAAAATCTTTTAATGTTACCACGTACTCTTTAAGCAATCCAGAAAATAATATTTAAGTCTTACGTTTAAATAGTTTTGAAAGGTTCAACGGATGTTACCCTAACGAGAGGTTAAGTTCATTTGGAACGGTCATATTATTATATAACTGAGTATACGGAAAGGTTCATTTTCAAAATCTTTGTTTTACCGTATTCATCTCTGAAGTAGTGCGTAGGATTTTCTTATACCCGATTTTCTAGGTTATTGCCTTCGCCTTTAATAGTGTTTTTTTTTCTATTTTTTAAAATTTATCTTTACTCTTTAAACTAATTTTTTAATTAAATCATTTATTTATTTCAATTGTTTGAAGGAAAATATACGCATGTGGTTTTCTAGATGGTGGTTTCCTTTATAATTTGCACATACAGAGGGATTTCTTTTGGCGGGAAACTCGTACAAAAACTGTTCTTCGCCTCATTTAACAAGCTAAGGTTTTCCATAAAATTTATTTTGGGGTGTAGCCAATAAATGACAGTGATAGCTATGATTGATAATGCTCTTTGTTGTAAAGCTCCAATTTTTGTCAGTTCTTAATAACTTAACTAAAACAGGCATATTAGTTGGGTCCTTTTTTCCTTAGATTAATTTCTTGAAGGTTTGCAGAAATAACGCTTGGAATTAGTTCTGTCTTTAAACCCCCCCCCCCCTCCATCAGATAACCCATCGTGTAATATTTGCAACTTTCTGCTTTAAAAACTTTGAAAATATTTAATAGTTGGACACATTTGTCGCTTTGTTAAGGTTTATTATACCTTCAGAAGTTTCTTTGTTGGTTTTTGGCCATAATTCTTTTTTGTATTAATAAGGGCTGTGAATATATATTCGTTGTTATAAACAGTAAAATTAAATTTTTGCGTGAGGGTATGAAAAATTTATCTGGTTGTAGAGTAATTAGTAAGCGCATATTATTAGAATTCATGAGGGGGAGCTTGAATAGACAGAAAAAGAGTGTTGCGTCGGTGGAGATCAAACCCATAACCTTGAGTAAGCGCGTAAATGCTCTTAACCGCGGAGCTACGGCGACAACTCTCGTTCCCGGTTTGATGGTTTTGCGAATTTTTCAAACCTGTTACATAACTTAATGAGGGCTAATTTGTAAAATTATGTATATATGCTAGCCATTGGCGTGTTTTGAGAGACCTTTTTCTCTCATCGCGTGGTTGCGGGGTGGTCTGCTTCTTGAGTTGAGTAGCGTCGCTAGGCTAGTAAAATTAATAAATTATAATATATAGGTTTTGTACAGGGTTATCTTTATTGTTTTTCGGTCACTAGAGTACAAAGTGTGAGTGCATTAAATGACAATAGTGTTAACCCTTTATACGCTATTGGTTACAATGTTTACCACTTGTCGTCTAGGTTTAGTTTGGAAGAGTAGGCCTGTGGAAATTGGCCCTAACGACAGGCTTGGTCTCTGAAACAATCTCTGGTAATTTTGAGTACCATGTTCTAACGGCAACCAACAAAACATAAAATATTGGCAAATTTAGTTACCAGTGAACGTAAAACAAATCTATTTTAAGCTCCAGAGTTTCGCTCATTAACGGGGTAAGGTAGTTACATCGGGCTTATAGAATTGGAAAAAAAAAGTTATTTTTCTTTCCCTATTTTCGCTTGCTGAATATCAGTCATCTTCCTTTTTATACTAATAAATCATATTTGATAGCAATTTAGTCTCTTTTAAACTCGTAATTCTTGAACCGAGTGTAAATTTTATTAAAGCTATCTTAAAGAATATTAGTAATTGTATTCTTTATGCTTATTTCCTATAAGTGGATACAGACGATGGGGTTTACCGCGTGCTCCTACCTCGCAGTGGTATACATGTCACACTGTCCTACGTGATCATTCCACGGTGCTTAGGTTCCAATTGTTAGATTATTAAAAGATGGGAGGCCAACCTTTAATAGGGCAGGAAATATCTATTAAATAGCAAGTTTTAACGCCGATCCACTGACACTTTCTCCTTTTTGAATATGGTAAGATCTGTATCAAAGGATAGTGCGAGGATATAAGAGATATTAACTGGAAAATATCGGCTATAAATAGGATTAGGTATGCTTCTTAAACACGAGAAGTTCTTGCTCTCCTTAAGTTTTTTTAAAAACATACTGTAGGGTTTGTACAAGTTTTACAAAAGATATAAAAGATAAATCAGTGTAAACTTTACCATTATTAGTTATCTCAACCTTTTTACAGCTTTACACTTGTCGTAGACCTATAAGTGAATACATCCTAATAAAGTAGGTACTGTACTTTATTGTGTGATCAGAGCAATTATCTAAATATTGAATTAGATACCTACTAATTTGCTTTTAAATAAGGCTTCACCCGGAGTGGTCTTAACTTCCCTTCTGAAAGTGACCTCATAAGACCGCTTTGGATTAAGCTAATGAGTAACACTTTTGTGAGATAACTTTAAACTTAAGTAAAATTAACAAAATCTTGTCTAATATTCTCAAACTATTAGTTAACATTAAATGTGATAACTGTTGTTAAATGTTTAGCTTTAACTACCAAGATGGATTAACCGCTTTGGAAGTACTTACTATTACTTTTTCTGTTCATATATAATACGTGAGTGTTATATTTGTTCCTATTCCCGTTTGTTAAGCTTTCTATTATTTAAAATAGATCTTCGGAGTAAATTTTTTAAACCCCTTTGAAAAGTTTACACCCTTTTCGCCGCCCACAACACTGCTGGACTTACTTGTCGGAAGTAGTGGGTTAGGCTATCAGTTTAAGGTTTATTTTTTTTTTATTGGTGTTCAAATAAAATTTCTAAGATCTGAATATTTTAAGACAACTTGTTGTAGCAGTTCTAGTTTTTAAGTGTTTATTGAAAAACAACTTTTGTGTTAAAAATACTCCTCTGTAATATAACGTTATATTAATTAGCCATAATTCCCTATTAAATACCTCATTTACTTTTTTTCAAGGATGTTATTAGAAGCGATGGCCAGAATATAAGGCTCAGTTCCTTTCCCATCATTGATATAAATGGGTTTATAACCTTAGTATAATAGTTAAGTAATGATTCTTAAGTATTTATTAAGGCGAGGAGACTGCCCCAAAAATGACCTTCTCCTTGTAGTTCTTTTTATATTATTAACTCCTTCTGTTTACGATGGAAAGGAAGTGGGTTAACTTCTTAAAGGTTTAAATCTATTTTTTTTGCTTCACGACCAAAAGGTGGAGACGAACAAAGCGTCCTGTTTGTGAACACTTCGTATACTTTTAACTTCCGACGGTTGGTTAAACTTATAAAAAAAGAGAACGTAGAAAACGTTAAGGCGCGCCTTAACTACCTTTTAAAGAGCTTGCCAAAAAATAAAGAACTAGAAGAAAAAGACACCAGCTTTAGTTATTTCGCCAAGCAAGGCGTTAATAACTTTTGTTTAATGTCTTCGGAGGCTACGACTGCTCGAGGTGGAGGTATAACAACGTTATTGTGCTAATATAAAAGTTTCTAGTAGTTTTGTCGTCTTATCAAGGGGAAAAATTATATGAGACGTGCTTTGACAGACTTCACGTTGTTGACGTTACTGACGAACTTGGGCTCTTAGCCACTTTAGAAAACTTAAAAAATTTTATAGAAACTCAGCGTACAAGTATCTTGATTTTAAATGACTTGTCTTCCTTCTACTGGAACAACCGGTTTTTTTAAATAATTGTATAGTAAAAAAATGAATTATACACTTCAACTCTGTTGTTTTTCAAGATTGCTTGTGAAACGCACCACGGGTACTCGCTTGAGACTGCAGAAAACTATCTACCGACGCCTCCTAGCCCTTCGAGACGAGTACAAGTACGAATGCCCTTTACTTTATGTCGTCTTTTGTATCTCTTATTATCGTTTAAGAGTAACGATTATCTGCTTCAACCAAGCGCCCTACAGAAGGTGCGGGGAAGAGCTCCCTTGGAATCTACCGGACTACTCCCCAGAAGAATGGAGGGCTGCCGTCGACATTCGCATTAACTTCTGGAGCTCAGAACCAACGAGCGGCGGTCAACTATCCGACTGCAAACCACTTAAAGTTTGCTAAATCTTCCTCTACTCTAACAATAGAAATCCCAAAGACGTTCTTTAAGCTTATGAATCACCGAGATGCTCCGATAATAAACCTAAACCACTGGTTTACCCCTTTGGAGCAGGCGTGACTGTGAGCTGCCAAAAAAATATAGAATTTTCCTTAAGCTTATTAATACATTTTATACTGTTAATTATTACAAGTAATATAGTGTGAAGCTGCATAATTTTTAAGTACACTGACTACTCTAGTGAAAAGGTACACATGGGCTCAGCCCCCCTTTTTAATCTAAGTGATGGGTAAACTTTATTTATCAAAAGGTAGTCATTTATTGTTGGTTATTTGTAAATTCGATTAATTGGTCGATGGTTATTATGCACAAATTATATTCTCTAGAAAATGCCTCCAGCTCTCTGCGTTTTGCCTTTATTGGGCAACCCTCAATAAAGATACACAAAAATTTTAAAAATAGGAAACCATTTCACCGTTCTTCAAAGCAATCTCACTCAAACAGGCCACTTCTTTGAGTCCGGCCAGTCGACACAGCTCTAATTTATAATACCACTGCTTAAGAAAGTAAAGAAACTCTACAAGCAATGCTATACCGACAGCGGCCTCTGTGTGACCTTGTCTTTTTTTTAAACCTCCTTCACTGGCCACCAGGGGGAACACATGACCTGCTCGCTAGTATTAGCACAAACACAAAAGACCAAGGTCGATGTTAAACACTACAAAGTCTGACGAATACGTGATACTGTTACGCAGAGCGATAAGAGAAATCTACCAGGACGCTGGAAACACTCAATTCCTTTAGAGTCATCGGCTAAAGCCCTAACTGTTTTAGAACGGTCGGAAGCACTGACTCCTGTCGTGGTTCCTGGTTACATGGTTCCATGTATAAAAATCAAAAAAGTCGGGATTTACAGGTATACCTTCCAATAAATCTACGCTTTGAGTAAAAGCCGTTCTGTGGCGGTCTGTAGTGTCGCTTACCATCAACGGAAGAGACAAAGACTTTTGCTTTTCTGGCGTTATAGCGCAGCAGACGATACCGCTTCTCAATATTATAGATAGTTATAGCTTGGAACGCTAAACTAAAAATATAAAAATTTGATAGAGCTTTAAGGCAGAAACCTTGTGTTATTTATCATAAAGGCCATTTTATCTGAATTCATTGCCCCGGCTGCTATAATTAAATCACCTTCATTTTCCCTGTTTTCATTATCAAGGACTATTAAGAATTTTCCTTCCTTAAAAACTTCAACTGCCCGTGAGATTTGTGTAAACTTAAAATCTCTGTTAAGTAAATTAAAAAAAAACTGCGAAGCTAAGAATTTCAAAGTAGTACTCTTTTTCCACGCAATCCTGAGACCTGGGCAAATCATTAACGTTAACACCTTTGACCAAAGCAGCATTGGCTTTAATTAATTGTAAACGAAGAACATATACTTCTTGTTGTAGAGATTCAATAATAACACGAGCTTCTTCAGCAGTTGTAAAGGATGTATCCATCTTAACTACCAAGAAAACGACCTTAAACAGAGCACCTTACGCTCTATTAAACATGTGCAATTCAGTATGCCTTTTTTGGCTAACGAGAATAATATTTAGGTTTAATCGACATATCACAACATATGAACAAATTTATAGATTATGAACAAATCTAAGTCGAAATAAACTATTCTAGTCAAAGTGAAAGTCTGCAAAATCAAAATACCTTTTTTTGAATTTTTTGGAACAAAAGCTTCTATCAGAGCTTCTAAGCCCTTTACGAAAGCTAAGCAAACTTAAAAAAACCCAAGTTGGAGGGGTCCTAGCTCCTGTCTCCCAATATTAAACTAAAAAAACAATATTTATGTTAGTGAACACTAGTCTCACGTAGCCAGAAAAGGGTCTTTTGCTGATTTTATATAAAACCTTAACAACTTAAATTATAAACTATAAAGAGCTTTAAGTTTGGTTGGGTGAGCCTGCGCGTTAGGCGAAAAGAACATCTGATTAGTGATCAAAATGTATTGTAAATTGATCAGTTCGGAACTTTGCTAGCTCAGCGACCCTACCTAACACTAAACACGAGTCACCGCAATATATGCCATATTTTTTTGACTTCATACTCGCTATCATACAAAAATTAAAATACGTCGATTAAAGCGTAATTTCGCCATTTAATCATTAAAATAGTTTCCTTTTTCCTCACATAAAGTTCTAGCTAAATAACATTAAGTCTACGCTCAAAAAGATGACTAGAATTAACAAAACCTATAACATGAAATAATATTATAAACAGGCGGATATGATTACATAAATCAAAAATTTTGTTATTTAGTAAATCCAGTATATTTACATATAAAAAATAAATATTTTTGAAAGACAAAAATAGTTATTGTTAAATTACGGTAATTATTATATATCCTGCTCAAGGTATAAGAACCTATGAAAGCGAGGTTAAATGCGCTACCATCAAAAATCTAAAAAGAGAGTCGCCTAGAGATGAATCGAACGACCTAGAGTATGCCACAGACCGACATCTCCCGCACAAGGATGGCCTTTAAGTAGATAGTAAGCGATTTATGATAAAGTAACCTTCCTAATTATAGCAGCATCTGCAACCTTATCTAGTCACGCTCACTAATATCGACGTCATTGAAAAATTACTGTTAATGCGGTAAAGCAAAGACCTTGTTTTACCACGGAGAGACCCACTGCACCACCGCTGTCACTAACACATGGTGGCAAGGTAACCCCATAGTGTTCTAATGCAAAATATTTAGAAGTCATCATTAACATTAGAGGCTGCGATAGCTACCGTACCTAAACTATAGTGACAAAGGTTAAGGCAGCTGCTCGGAGTCTGTATCATTTACGTTACGTTAATCCTCCAATTTCCTGTTAAAATATGGCCAACCTTGCATAGTTTTCTTGATAAAATATAGCGCCTTCATCAAAATAATATAAAGATAGGGTAGAGGGGTAAAGACTCTTCTTATTAAATTCCTTCGCGCTATTTCAAAGCTTTTAGCCCAAGTAATATATGTCGTGAAAATAACTAAAATTGCAAGTAAAGATTGCTATAACAGTTTATCAGAGCCCCCCCTTTTTGTTCAGCTGCTACTGCAGGCATATGTTCCCCTCACGCCTATTAGAATTTTTAATAAACTACTATTTGTAAAGCAGTTAACTGGGAAGTAGGCTACGCAGATTTTTGTAAAAGTTAAAATACTTGTTTTCATCAGGGTTGCAACCAACTTAACTTGGTACCACAAGATGCTAAGGGCTCTTTAAAGTCTCTATAAAGAAAAAGTCGAACACTAGACCTTCTATATATACAATAAAATTGAGTTTAACTTACAGACTAATACCAAAACCTTAGTCGGAGAAAAAAGGATTTTCAGCGTGGATGTTATTAATTATTTCTGTGACTAATAAGCCATCTAAACCACTTTGCGCTATTTATTACTTTTGGTTTAATATTTTCCATGCGTATATAATGCATATATGTTTTAATAAACTACTAGGACACCTTCAGCTCTTCCTCTAAATACTTGAAAAATGGTTTGACACATGGCAAGTTACACATTATGCTGCTAAAAGATTAGGCCCTTTAATTAACTAAAAGAAGAGTAAAAAGGACTCTCAACAATTTTTTCAAGTTACTAACGGAGATTCCCTGAAGCGATCACATTAAATACCTCCGCCAAATAACCGACTCCAAGTTCAATGGGCATGCCTACACCACCTACATTATTAATAAGTGAAGGTCTTAAGAAACACTCCTTACCCCCTTTTATGCAATAAAAGTAAACTTTAAAAAACAAACTGATGCTTTACAATTTCTGGTCAGACCAATGCTTAGATACCCGTCAATTGCATGGGCCTATTCTGACGCCAATGATAATCGACTACAAACCCTACGGAATAATTTTTTTCGTATGCTAACCGAAGCGCCATGGTTCGTTCGCAACCGCAACTTCGGGACTGTAAAAATGAAATTTTCCAAGACTATTTTCAGAAACTACCTATTAAATCAGCAAACAGATGGTTTTCAGGTTTTAGCGCTCTTCTAACCAACTCTTTTGTCCGAAGCTGTAACTTAAGATCCTACTTACTACTTGTAACACAAACGACCAAAGGTAAAACTTTTATACAAATAATAACAAATGAAGTTTTAATATCAAATATTTATACTTATAACAACAATAATAATTTTAATAACACCTTCCAGTAATAATTATAGTAATAACTTTATTACGAAATAATAAGCGAATGGTTAACTTAACTTATACAGCCTCTAATATGATCTTTAGTAAATAACTTAAGTGTGGAGGCATTTACCCTTCAACCATTCATGCGGACGAAATACGAATTAAGTATTCGAGACCTTGGGCCTCCCACTGTGGCATGTCACTTCTTAAATAATATTTTTTCTTCTTACCACTTCCTTGTGCGCGCTTACTTAGTTTGCATAGAGGAGTTGCTTAATTTCTAACTACTAAACTTGACTTTTTTTAAGCTTAAGCACTTTTTAAACTAGTTAATATGGTTTTATAATGCTAGGATTTTAGCAAAGAGAGGTAAATCCATATTTTGCAATTACTATGCCGCCCGATAGGAGGGTGCAAAGGCTTGTGCTACCTTCCGGTGTGTCAGTGAACCTTTCGAATACCAGAAAAGTATGGATTTTATAATGGCTGACCTTATAGATACACATGTTTACATTGATTGTTTAGTGGCTAGCATCTCCAAAGCGACCCACAATATGGAAGGTTGTGTGCTCTAATTAAGAGGTATCAATAATTTAACGTTAGAATTAGAGTTGAAAAGTGTTTTGCGAGATCTTCAGTTGAAGGGTTAGGAAGAGGACTCATGAATGCAGGTGTAAGAATAAGTGAGGATAAAGTATAGGCGTTTAATATATGCCGAGGAGTTAACAAGTTTTACACAAGCATCGAACTTTTGGAATCAATTTATTCCCAACAAATGCAATCGTAACTGAGTCCCTTACATGACTTAAAAAAAAGGCAGAATTTGAGTGAAAGCTTGAACAAGAGACTGCATGGATGACCATATTACGACTCGTAGAGAAAAGCTTATGCGTGGAGCATGTAAATAGTAATTACGAATTAATTTTACAAACAGAGGAGAGAGATGTTGGCGTGGTGCACAAATAAACTTATGGACTACATTTAACTAACCAGCAAGCCTTAGGTTAGAGATACTAACCATAAAAGCCTTCCACCTATTTTCCAAAGCGAACACGAAGCTATTACCTTAAGAGGAAAGAGAAACAATCGTATTAAACTTGTTATGAGTAATATCTATTGGGTTTTAAAATATATTCCTTGTAAAAGCAACGTTATTGCCGATTTGCTATCTCGCTTACCTGCCGATGAGGTTATTCCCAATGTATATACTTTTGGCGATAGTGGGATAAATGAACTTATAAACGATAATTAAATTAAAAAGTTACAAGGTATACATCGAGGGTGATTCCATAAAAAAAGAAGTTAACAAGTGATAAAAGATTATAGTTTTAAAAATCTGGTAAATAAGGTTGAGGGTGGCGAAATATATCAAAGGTTTGGAAACAGAAGACAAACCCTGTGAAGAACTTCAATTAATAACAATACCTTACAGACCGCTAGAACACTTGTCCGTTGTTATAATGGTAATGCCTAGGGCCACGGAGGGCCATGATAGCGTTTTAATTATAGATGATAGCTACACTCATGTCTGGGCAATAGCATTGAATAAAGTAAACACACAATTTTAAAATGTTTCAAAGAAATCTATAAGTAGCAGGTACCGAGACAGATAACTTTAGATGGGCAATTATTTTTTTAGAAGTAAAGAACTGATGACTTTCTTTAACAGGGCATGGAGTTAAAGAACAGTACATTACCGCTGATTACCGTCAGTCGAATGGTCTGTGTGAACGGACTATACAGACTATCAAAAAAGCGTTGTTAAAGTTTAGTTGCGAAAGAAAAATAGAATGGACTGCTTTAGTGGATGATTATATTTACTAACATAACAGGATCTCCAACGTGCAGGCGTCACTCCTATATTTATGATGTTTAAAGAAGAATTGTCAAGCGGGAGAATGACACTTCTTGTACTACCCCAAAGACGTGGGGACATCTGACGATAAATCATGAAATTGAAAGGAGGAGGGAGGACAGACAACGGCAGGCCGAAAAGGTAATGGAAAAAGCAATACGATAAGGGGGTCGTTAAAGAGGATGTTACCGTAGGTGATTACGTGTACATCGAATTACGGGAAAGCAGAGTAAAAGGTTAAAATTGGAAGGGTCCTCTAGGTTGTTGGATATTTTGGATAAAGGAATTTTGAAGTTGGAATACGGAGGAAAAATTAAACTATACTCAATACTATTATTATCTTGAAATTATTATTAGAATTTACATTACTTTTAAACAAGTTACTATTACTACTAAAGGGGGCCTCTTTCATTTCGTTGTCTTCCAAAGTGCCCTTCTAAAATGTAACGCGGAATAAGGAGCTTGTAGCGCCCAGCATAGTATTTAGTTCTGGTGATTCTTTCAGCCTTTTTAACTGTGATTAACTTTCGCTTAAAGCATCTTTAACTCTTTTTTTAAAGCGTCGTTTGCAACCGAAGGACTGACTATAAGTTCCTGTTGCTCTGTATTAGCGGAAGAATTCCCCATAACGACCTGAAAAATAATATATAATAAAAAGGTTTATGTTAAAAAAAATAGCTTAAAAAAATATCTATTAATATATATCTGTGTTAGATAAGTGAGTAAACGAACGAAATTAGTTAAAGTGACGTAAGTGTATTTAATAAATTGTGCAAAACAAGTAGATATTTATAGCAAATTTTTTTCATATAAGTCCAGCTCCTCCCAAAAAACTATATCCGGTTATCATCAGCCTCCACAGCCACACATTTATTAATTAATTATTAATTGCGTTTTTTTGGTGCTCGATCAAAATGACAACTTCCAATAAACGAGCTCTCAAACAGGTTTCTACTCGTATATGAGTGCAAAAATATCTTCACATGTCTCCTTCAGGTTCAATGTAGATCTCCAACTTAACTTTCAAGCCTCATGCTAAGGGTGCGTAGCTGATCTTCCGCTAGTATCCGATTAGCTGCCTAGTTGTCAGTTGTCAGTCCGTAGAAGTCGACGGCATAATTTTAAAATAGTGTGACCAGCAGCTCGATCCTAGTTCGACGTGTATCATTGCGCACAAACCACCGCGCGTTTGTTAAAAGGCGCAGCAGTTTGTGTTGTCGCACTTGCGAGGACGTTATTGCCGATAATTCGTAGGGCCAGCCAGGAGATGCATAGGTCATAATCAGTCGAATGCACAACACAAAAAGCCTTCGCTTATTGCGCAACGAAAGTTTGCTTTTGCTGAAAAATGAAGGATATAGCAACTAGATTGCTGTCTTGACCTTCGCAACGACAACTTAGAATTTATAATGTCCCCAAGGTATATAACCTGAGAACACCACGGAATTTCAAAGCCGTCAAAAGTTATAAAGTGCGCTTTGTTCTTTCCTGCGTTAAATGGAGGGGCCCCATTGACGAGACCAGGTTGCAAGCGCTTCATGATAGAATAGTAAATGCTGACATAGAAAAACGGGTGACTTGGGTAAAGAATAAATTATCGATCATCTACGTAAATGGCGACCCGCGTATGGGGGTGAACCAGAAGAGGAATGTCGCTCGTATAGAGCGCGAATAGCAGCGGTGATAGAAGAGAGCCTTACGGGAGTTCCGTTGTAAGATGGCGAGGCGATGACAGTGCAGCGCCTACTTGCACATTGAAGACCCGGCAGGTTAGGTACAACTTAAGAACTTCTTGAAGACAGCGTGGTATCGCTGAGACATGTAGCTTGCTTAACAGACCACCATGACATACTCGTATAAAAGCCTTCTCGACATAAAGAAAGATAGTGCCGGTGGCTTTATTGAAATTCAAGGCTCTGGTCGTCCACTCGGTTAGGCGAAGAATTTGTTGGGTCGTGGAGTGTCCCTTGCGAAATCCCTTGTTAAATTCCTATAAAATTCTACAAGCGTCCACAATCGCCTTTAAAGGATTAAGTATCACTGCTTCAGCTATCTAAACCCACTGCCGACAAAAGGCTGAGGGGCCGATATTTGTGAGGCTCTGATTGCGATATCTTTGGTAACAACACGACTACCGCTATTTTAACTCAACTGCCCATGAAAATAGCAGAAGGTTTTCACCAAGTTGACGAGGCAGCACAGAAGATTCATAGCCTCCTCTACCAGTTTTTAAAACTTCAGATTAGTAATGCCGTCAAGTCCGGACGCCTTTCGCTTTGGTAGTAATTTTGACAATTGTCATGTACTCATCTGTGGTAGACCGCTCCAGAAAATCAGTTGTATCGGTCGGGAATAGATTAGGCACAAGGAATCGTCATCGACGGTTGAGGGAGTAGACAGCGAACACTGAGCAACTAGATTATCAGCAAAAAGTTGTGCGTTATCTTCAACGCGTCCGGCTATGGTATCGTCGTGGCGAAGTTGTGGTCGAGTTGGATGCCCATGATTCTTAGCTCGCTTGACAAATTTTCCGAAGAAAGCACGACCTTCCTCTGGCAGTTTATATGCGCCATTAGCTTTTTCCTGATGTACTGATGAAGACAATTAACACCTATTTGTCTTTTACGCGTTGAAAGGTCATGACTACTAAGATGTGTTATTGACGCTCGAATATTAATGCCTTTAGTTCTTCAGGAGGGTTTCACGTGTCGTCGTGGCTTTGCTGTTAGCTTCTGTCACCGAGCGCTCAAATTCGACAAAAGCACCGTTTAGTTTAGCAAGAGTTTCGAGTGGCATTGTATGGGGGCGTCTACTCGAGCAATTTCGGTGAATTTGTTCCAATTCGCCTAAGCTCGGAAGAATGTTATTTATTTCTTCCTTTTCGTCGCCCATTTCGTGCAGGACAGGTAGTTGATCTGACCACCATTCCATCCGCCCCTCCAGCACGTCCTTTATGCCGGGCTTCCTAGCCATGTGTGTTGTTTTCTAACTATGATCCTATGACTCTTTATTAGAATTCATGAGGGTGAGGTTAAATACGCGACCATCAAAGATCAGAAAAGAGAGGGAGTCGGTAGGAATCGACCCGACTTTAAGTATGTGCGTAATACTTCTACCGCTGAGCTACGACAATAACTCTCGATTCCGGTATTTTACGTATTTTAACCTGTTATACCAGCATGTTATTAACCATCAGGCCGGGGTCTTTAGCCGGTCTTAGGTGCCCTTACTTTTAGCCTAAGGCAGAGCGCGTATTTATAACGTATTAAAATTCCTGAGGGCGGGGTTAGGCTGTTCTATGCAGGATGTTTACAGTTTAAATTCCCGCTAGAATGACAGGAAAGTCATGCACTAAAAGAGGCTTCGCCATAATTTACCGCCAGGACAAAATAGCGCACGCTATAATATTACAAGACTACGAAAATTGATAAGCAATGAGCACAGCGACAGAAAGATCAGTCTGCACATAATTATTCGTCACTGTTGAACACAAACATGCAATTACACTATATTGTAACTTGTTCTGTATTCAGATTTTTATTTAACATTACTTAACAGAAATCCTATTAAAAAAAATCAAAGAACAATGCCTAAAGCGATAATTAGAATGTAACAGTCATTAAATATTCTTTTACTTTGAAGAACCAGTATTAAGAGGCTAATTCTGCAATCCTTTTTTGATTTGCACGTATTAAAAATTGGAGTTTTCGGTTTTCCAACACCAGATCTGTATCGAGTTGCATATAATCCATTAAAACTCCGCTCTTTTTTAAGATGATTTAGAAATTTATAGCTTACGTGGTGGGTTATGACAGCCTGAAGTATGCTTGAAGGAATTATTATGCCAGTTATAATATTTGGTAGATTGGTAGATACAAGGTCTACCCTGTTCCAGCTTTCTAAGTGCTACTTAGGCTCTACTTTGTGTAGTCGTCTGCAAACATAATTCTTTTCCCAGTACTCTACGAGTGGCGTAATATCAGAAAGAAAATTTTCAGCAGCGACTTCTAGAAAACTGTCAATTTCTCTTCTGGATGTAGGAGAGAGCAAGGATTTTACACTGGAATCTGAAAAGTTCTGGTTATGCGTCGATGCAGTTGCTATATTTTCAAAAAATTAAGCTAAATGAACGCACAACCAACATTCTTGTTTTTCGGTAGAACTATCTTAACTGTGTTTATCAACGCAACTTCTAAGTCAACAACAATTGTAGAGAAATCTAACTTGGTTCTACTCTAGTAAGGCTTGGAAGGGTTTTGAGTACTTTTCTTTATTTCTGTTTGGCCACTATGCGAAAATCATTGAGACTACCTTACCGACCATCAACCTATGACTGTATACAATTGAGTCCACAGTGGACAAGTTTTCAATGTTCCATTTATTGCCCAGTGAGAAAAATTCTTTAATATTTCAACGTTTCTACGGGTACCTAACACTAATATACTTTCCCTGCCTTCTCAGGGTTCTTGATACTATAGCTGGTCCTTTACTACTTTTGAGACAGACGTCTCAAGTAATTTCTATACTAGTTTTTATTGCGTGAGAACGAGATAATGTAGTTATTTTAATTGGGGTTACTTTAAGTATGTGCAGTTCCCAATTATAACCTGAAATGAAGCCAGTGACTCTCATAACTTTTTATTATTTTAAAATAAGTGACGGTGAATAATTAAATTAAAAATGCGTTATAGACTCTTAGTCTTCTGCTCTTCAAAAATATCTTTACCTTCAACTTATTTGTAAAAGTAAGTTTTGTATAGGTCACTACTCCGGATGTGAAAAGTTGCCTCTTTTAACAATAGCTCCTTAAAGAGCACTGATGTATATTTATATCAATTTTTATGGATGAAACCTTATGGATTGGGATATAATTGGGAACTGAACATGTCAATATGTTTAAAGTGTGATATTTCCGTTCATAGGATGCGTAGTTTGTACTTTAACTAAGAAAGGTCACGCCAACTGACTTGCCCGTTCATTAACCTTCCGGCTTTCTGTTTGTATCTCAATTAAAACAAATACCCTCGGTTCGTATTTTTCCCCAGTAAAATTCTGCGCCCTTCAATACATTCGTGATGGTCGAATTACAGGAAAACTGCTTTAGATCCGAACAGAACTTTCCATAGTTTAAGTTCATACGCTACAGCATTTAGTGTAGTGCACTAATCACATAAAGTATCTAAAATACCATTTTAAAAAGAGAGTAAATCTATGCAAATCTAAGCATCTACATTATTAAGAATTACAACCAGTTTTATTAAAATAAAAGTCAAAAAATAAAATCGAGATTACGGCCCTTTCAACCTACAAACACTAACTGTAAAAGTACTATGAGAAAGAAAATTTTTATTTACTACAAATGTGCTAACAATTTTTTTTATATTAATGAGCTTGCGGTACTCAATTAGTCGAACGCTGACCGCTTAAGCTCATTTCGGGCGCAAGTAAGCGCTCGTACATCTCCAAAAGGTGTATAAGGACTGTCCCGAATTTTTTTTTTTTTTTGTTAAAGGAAAAAAGTAGTACGTGGTTAGCCTCCTGGCACCCACTACAGCACAAACCAAGTTCCTGGAAAACTGGCTTCTCAGATGGGACGGTTTGAAATGCTTTCCGCATGTGCACTTCCCCCTTTGCTAACAATACATTAACAGCTACCTTAATTGTCACCTCGCACTATGGCCACTGGCGAGTTGATAAGGACACACGTTGAATGACATCTGGTGGTCAAGCCTTTGCTTGAGAATAAATCTCAGGAGCAGTTGGTCCAGTCGCGCCTCCTAACGGTCATGGACCCTGATGAGGTTCATCTAATAGAGACAATTCTTAATAACTTGTACTAGAGAAAACTTTTACTACTATTTATTATTTCCAAATATGTTAATAGGTAAGAAGAAAACGCATTTCTCGCTTTCAAAATACTATAAGTCTTGTCCCTGATGAAGTCCGTAATCCTCTTGTAACCAAAACTTCAAACAGCTGCCCATCAATAGCTTCCGTTAATGCTATAGACGTCAGTAATGAAGCTCTTATTAAAGGATCCCCAGACAATAATTCCACTCTTTTGAAAGACCGGAATTTATATACTAATCATTTAATTTGCGACGTTTTTGAAGTTACATTTTCTAAGGATCTTTATGGAAAGAAAAACAATTACACTTTTCTTACCGATGTTACTTCTGAATTTACAGAAGAAGGGGAGTCTAACCTACCTTATATAAGTTATGAAGACAAGGTAGAAACCATTATCATGAATCGTCTCTCTTCCAATAAAGATGAAAGACCTCTTTTTCAGTACTTGGTGCAATGTTACAATAGAGCAAGTAATTATGCACACAGAAAGTCTTTATGTATATTTTTTTGCCTTTTTATCTATTTAATTAAGGTCAGAAAAACAAGGATTCTGCAGACTCGAATTTAATCGCCAAAATTCAAACTTTTATAGTTTCTTTTGCTGGAATAGTATTTCATTTGTTACAAGTTGAAAACTACTTTACCTCAAGAATTATTATTAAAGGTTCTTGTTTATCCGGATATGTTTCCTCAACCTCAATCTGTGCTCGAACGGGCAAACTGCGTTTTTGCTGATACCCTTCTTTTGGGTTTACATTCTTGAACATAATTCTTGTTACTTTTGCTTTTTTAAGTCACAAGTTTAGTAGCGCTGAAGAGCTTTGTAACAACGACAACTATATATTATTGTTTATTGTTCCGCAGAAGATGAAGGTCTGCTGTGTATTACGGATGCTTTTCTACAAGATCTTATTCGGACTTCTATCGCTAATGACTACGTCAAGGAGGTCGGTATCTTTCTTAGTTCATATTTGTGTATATTATATCCCATTTCTCTTTTTGTTCAGGTTTTCCATCCTCTTCTTTACGAACTTGAGCGCTGCGTTGGCCAGTACAGTTTTCTCGATCATATCTTTCCGCTTTTGACTGCACTTGTGCGCCTCTGCTATCACAAAAACCTTCTCCCCGTCGTCGTGTCCGTGGACAGCTGGGATCCAGGTTCTTCTTTCGTTCCTCCAGCGAATCTTATAGAGTTAATTTTATTACCAGAGGAGGGTATTAAAGGCGGCCTTGATTTTGAGAGGAAATCTTTTTTGGCTGCATTCATAAGGCTTGCGCCATTTCCCTCGGCGTGCCGTCATATCGCCAAGACTTGCTTCCCTGATCCACTTAGAAAAACCAAAATGGAAATTGATACAATACACCAGAATATTAGAAGTACGCATAACTACTTCCTTGACTCCTCTACGTGCTTATTTCGTGTTTCTCTACAGCCCGTTTACTTTCTATGCAAGAGGTGCAGTATAAAATTGCCTGTTGCTTTCTCAAAGGGGATGGCGGCCGAGAGCCTTTTCTAAACTATATTTCACATGTTTTCTCTGTCAACAGCAAAAGACGCCAGATGCGCTCCTCTTCCCTTGCACCGCCATCGAGTGACGGGTTTTTAATTAACTTGGTCTCCCCCTGCCACATGGTGTTGCACCCCGCCCTCACATGGTGCATGCTTACAGGCTTCTATACTATTGCGGCTCTGCGAGCCGTTTATGAATCCTAACACTGCCAAGTTTTTTGAAAAGATGGATAACTGGTATATCTTTTCGGGCTCGTGCCGAATTAATCTTCAGGCGGAAACGTGTTTGGTGTACTCTGAGCCAGAAAAGACAGCCTTTGTGACTTCAAGCATGAATGGTCTAAACTTAGCACCTGTCCTACAACCAGCTTACAAAGTTATTAATGCAGCCAAGGACTCTGCGCATCCTGCCCACTTCATAACAGAATGTTTCTTTCTAACGGCGTACTGCCTTCACCTCGGGCTCCTACAAACCTGCGTTACTTATGACGAGCACATGGCTAATATTCGGGACTATCAGGGATTATTGAACAGGCGCTGCTCCCTTTTAGCATATTTTCCAATGCTGGCTTTTAATTCTACGTTATAGACTTCAGGAGCAGAGTGGCTCAGCGTGGGGACCACCTGAAGCGGAGGCTTTTAAGCAACACCTTCGCGGATTACTTGAGGTGAACATCGGTGAAAAGTATGCATGCGACATCCAGCTATTCAGCCTATCATTTGTGGAAAGAGTTTTAAGCTATTATGCACTTGTCTGCACGTGGCTTATCGGCCTTGTAGACCCGGACAGGGCTGGTCTCTTGCCTGCCTTTCTCTAAGCTTGTCCTTTTCACCTCACTGCTAGGGCTACCGTTATCTGAGCCGTCTGGCCTGTACAAGGCGCTTCCGGAGTTTATCATCGAAGATGTGGTGGATTATTTGCTTTTTGTTTGTCGTAACCAAGCGGACCTGTTGATATATAATCGTGGGCCCCTCGAAAAAATTATTGAACTGTACTTTACAAGATCGGGTAACTTCATGGACCTGATTATAATGCCATGTGCATTAGGTTTGTGCTGCTTTTGGGCGCTAAGGAACATTTGAAAAATCCCCACTTGCGTTCCAAGTTAGCTGAGGTGCGCCTCCTTACTGACTAGTGGGGAGCGCGATAACTCCTTTCTCCTCCAGTGCATGTTTATGATGACGACGGAAGTACAGCATGAGGAGACTCCCTTCGTGAGCATCGCTCAAGCTAATCCTCTCGCTTTAAAGTTTCTGGTCCCCTCTTTGGTCTCTCCTTTTCTTTTAAGGAGAAGCCTCCCACATTCTTACAAGCACTTTACTATTGATGCGCAGATAAGCTCTTACGTAGAAATTGAGATGACTGGCAGTAGCAACCAGTTTTATGAAAAGTTTGAAGTGCGCTTCCATTTGTCGATTGTTTTACGACTACTCTGGAGTATTCCAGAACACCGACGGCAGATGATCAACTATAGGTAAGCTGACTCCTCCCACCGCCTCATGCTCTTTAGATTCCGATGTTTATATCGATACTTTGCAGTAAAGGCGAGCTTTTTGTGCGCTTTGTTAATCTACTAATGAATGACACCACATTTTTGCTCGACGAGTCGCTTCTCAAACTAAGAGATATTAAAGAGACGCAATCTCTCATGGAGGAGCCTGAGGTTGCTATATAGTGCGTCAGCGCACGGAAGGGACAACCGACCCACCTACAGGTTTGGACGAAGCTACCCGCCACTGTCAGAGAGGAAAGAGAATCCCGCTTGACCCAGGACGAACGGCAGTGCAGGACCTTCCTTCTGTTGGCTGCCGAAACCGTCTCAATGTTCCACTACCTCACCAAGGAGATTGTGCTCCCTTTTCTGCGACCCGAGTTGGTGAGTCGTCTAGCAGCAATGCTCAACTTTAACTTGAAGAAACTCGTCGGAAAAGATTGTCAGGGCTTAAAAGTATAACTGCGAGCTCTTTTTGCTTTTTATTCTAACTTTTGAAAGGTCCGCAACCCCGAAAAGCTAAACTTTTATCCTAAGAAACTATTAAAGGAGCTTGTGGACATCTACTTGCAGCTGACTCAGGTTCGCCCCTCTCTGAGTCGGCCATAACACAAGTTGCCAACTCGTGTATGTTGCCAGGGCGAGCTGAGCGTGGAGCATCCTTTTGTTCAGGCCGTGGGTCAAGATGGGCGGTCCTACAGCGCTCAGTTATTTCCAATGGCCGTAAGAGTTCTCAGTAAGATTGGGATAGACATGGAGAAGGTCGTAAAGTTTTCCGACCTGGGTCGCCTGGTTGAGAGCTACAGCCAGCTCAGGCAAGCAGACGAGGAGGAACTTGGAGAGGTCCCTGAGGAATTTGTGGATCCCGTATGCGATGTTGTGCCTCGCGGACGTGCAAGAAATCTTACGTCTGCGCCTGCTTAGCTGCTATACACAGTAATGAGTGATCCCGTGAGACTTCCGACCAGCAACCTAATCGTGGACCGCTCTACGATTGTTACGCACCTTCTCTCAGACGGATGTGACCCCTTTAATAGAAAGCCTCTGACCATCGACCAATTGGAGTCGGGTTTACTGTTCATTTTGGCCTGTCATTCGCTGCGTCTAAACACCCGCAATACCAGTGGATGAACTTAAGAAGAAAATCAAAGAATGGCGAGAAAAAAGGGCGACTTAATTAGATTTGATTAAATATTTCTCTGTAGGCCATTTAGTTGTAAATGCCGTACTAACTTGTAAAGTGATATTGTTGCGCTGGCAAGCAAGACCCCCGTTGCCGTGTCTGCAGGTGTAACCCATTCTTAAAGTGATATTGTTGCGCTGGCAAGCAAGACCCCCGTTGCCGTGTCTGCAGGTGTAACCCATTCTTATACAGCTTTATTAGCAAAGGATGGACATTTCTCACGACTTCCGTGCCGTGGGGAGGCCCAACTAGGGCGAAGCTGGCAGTGACCGACAAACAGTGCGACTTTCAACGCTTTATTGAAGAAACCTTTCTGTATATGCCTACAGGTGTAAATCTTTCATTCCTGTAGAGCCAAAACCACCAGAGCCGCGCGCAGTGGGCTCCAATTCCTACGTGACGGCTTTTAGTTAAAAAAGTTGGGAAAAGTCTGCCCTGCTCTTAAAAACGTACGCTGACTTCTTCCACAGTAGGGGTAATAATCTTTTCCAAGATTAATTGTGCTACCCGATCTCCCCTCTTAACTGTATAATTAAGAGTTTATAACGACGTACTATTAGTTCAAGTAAAAAACAAAATGACTTGAAAAATCCTTTTCGCCATGATTAAAAAGAATAACTCCTAGCGGGCCTCTGTAGTCAGCATCGACGACTCCTCCACCAACATCTACAGATAACTTCCAAGCCAGCCCGGAGCGAGGAGCTATATGTATGAAAGAAAATTTTGAATCTTCTGTATAATAACCCCTGGACATCTACTACACAAAGTTATTAAGGGGGTTTAAAAACTTAGTATTTTTCTACTTGGAACTGGTAAAGACCTATCCTCCCATAGCAATTGGGGGGAATAGCAATTGCGATGTCAGTTTTGATAAGCTCCTTCCCCTTTGCAGGAACTACAATGTCGCTAGAACTAAAAAGTACATTATACGACTAAAAATAAGAGATGCCCGCGTATCATAGTCATGAAGTAATAAATCACCTAAATAAATCGTATCCAGCCGAAAACTCGGTCGCTCGAACCTGAAAATATAAATTTTCATAAATTTATGAATATTTTTTTTAGCTTTTCCAAATAAATAGTAAACAATGTATTAAACATGGTTTTCTTGTGTTTAGAAAAATATAATAGAAAAGTACGGGGAGAGTAGCCTGGGCTGAAAGTCTTTGAACTTTAAGTTTTATATCCGAGAGAGAAGAAATCATCCTTCGGCTTTTAACTTGGTAATTATAAAAATGGAAGAAAAATTCTTAGGGTAGGAAAACTCGGACCCCTGTTACGTTAACTGAGTGCTTCACTCAGAACGAGCGTGTAAGGACAAGTTTTCGCACGCTACAGTTATGAAGACCAAAAAAGAGTGCTACTATTCTCAACCCTTGTATAACGGTTAGACTCAGCCTATTACAAACTGTCTTTGCGATATTATTTTGCATTGGAAACTGTAACGTTTTAACGAGGGCCTGCTAATTATCATATAACGAAGGGATCGGCGAATTGCGTCTAAAAAACACAGACGTATTTTGTTTTTAGCAAAAATGGCATGATTTATTAAATAGGTGAAAATTTTTCGGTAGTAATGCCATATTTTTTACCAATAGTTTTGCTCAAAACAAAAAAGTGTCAAGAGAGCCTGTAGAAATAGCAATACATTTTTCATAACAAAATTTTAGTATAATAAAAATTTTGAGCTTATAGTCAAAGCAATGCATAGAATCATCCGGAAGTCACGGTATCGAAAAAGGTTGTATTAAAAGGTGTTTAAGTATACTTTGGAGAACTACTGCAGTTCGCAGAGCGGCGCTCACGCAGTTAGTGCATCTGGCAGGAGACTCGCGGAGCTTCTGGGTTTAGTGGTCGAGTTACTATCCCTGCGCTTGATCAGCGTGCAGTAAAGCTAGAACCCTGTGCGGTAGTCTAAAGGGCTGCAGCGATGACATTACCTTATGCATTTGTTCTTTCGCAAATATTTAATGCTTATGAGAAGATACTGTAATGCTTGCAACGCATAAACTATCAATAATTAAATTTTTAGCAGGTTCACAAGCACCTGCTTTGCGTCACCAATCTGGTAATATTTTAAAAGTCACGCTACGAAAAGGGAAGAGCCCTTAGTACAAATTGCCGTTTTAATCCCAACTATAGGTTTATCGATGTAGAGTTCTCGGGAAGTAATGTCAATAGGCTTGCCTTATAAAAAGGAAAAGAATAAAATAAAAAATTTTGTAAATAAATTTTTTTTATTAAATTTAATGAATAGTGATTCGTTTTACTTGGTCGTTTGCATGTGTTGTATGCATACCACGAAGCTCAGAAAATAGGTGGCAGGGAAGTTCAGCTGACGAAAAGCGCTTCACCCCGGCTAATCTGAGAAGTTAAATCGGTAGAATCGCGATTGATACCATAGTGGTTGGCGAAACGGGACTTAGGTATTGGGTCCTTCCCTCTACGAAACCCGGATATGAATATGAGGCTACTTCAGATAGAGAGCTAAACAAACGGCAACTCTCACGATTAAATATTTTTACTAAAACTATGTATTTATATATTACTCTTAGTCAAATTAACAGATATTATAATAAGTTATAAGCACAAACCTCTATAGAAACTCATGTTGGGATAATCCATATTTGACAAATTAAAGAAAATTAAATTATTTGCACTGGGTATGTAGATCATTCGGTATAGCGTACGTACATGATAGCAGAACTGTAAACTGACGAACGTCTCGGAAAAGGTCATCAGTAACATGAATAATATAGGTTTTTAATAACAAAGAAAATGAAGAAAGCTTTACCCTAACAAACTAAATTATCTTGCCAGTCAAATAGTCGACCACCATGCTATAAAGAAACAGACGGATCCAAAAAATTCTTTTTGCTCATGACCTCATGATAGCTCGCCACAGGATATCACTGGAGCAACACTACAGGTTAACCTTAAACGCGCCACTACGAACTAAAAAGATGATTTTTTTATAAAAAGACGAATTAACTATACTTTTAACTAATATACAGAAAAATAGTAGATTTAGTATGCATAAGATGCAACTTGAGCTGTGCACTTATTAAAACAATTGAACACATCGAGAGCGCTTGCCCAACAAAATACTATAATAAGAATGTGAATGAATAACGAAATTAACAAGAAAACTTCATTATAAGTAGCAATGATCTTGACAAAATATGATTTATCGATTTTGATAAAAAAGTTATGCAAACAAGAAACAAAAAAATTAATTTCTTATCTACTAGACAATTAACTTTTCTGAAAACTCTGCATTATAGATGGGTATGTTAGAACAAAAGAAAATACCCCCTATAACTAACGAATTTTTAAGCAAAAGAGAGTCAAACGAAATTAAATATACACACATACAACTTCTATGCTTAAAATTAGTAAATAATCCATACACCTAAACTGTGACAGAGAGCCGTAAAACGTAGTAGACAATATAATTTAAACGAATGACAATCAAGAAATAACATTTAATAGTAATGACGAAAACAAATCAATATTTTGTAAAAAGTACAGAAAAAAACTGGTATGTGACTGGTTGATCAGTTACTACATAAGAGCCAATGAACACAAAGAAGAAAATAATAAATTTTTTAACGCATACAAAGTTGACCTTTTTACTATTTAGGTACAAAACAATCAAAAAAAATTGTATACAAATAACTTATAAAACCGAATCCATTATACCCATATAGAAGAATCTTTAGGCCACTCAACAAGTTAAAAATACAGAGAAAAATGGGTAACAAGAAATAATAAAAAGAATAGAAAATATACTAATCCTATAATAATAAATTCTATTAAAAAGTACCCCAATATTTTAACGCAAGAACAAGATTATCTATACAATGAAGATAAAAACATGTGAATTTTCAGGTAAACACCTTAACGATATATGCATTTTTAAATATGAACCAACCTCTAATATCTACAATACTAATTTAAATTGTTTATATAGAAGTTGTACACGGAACACCAAACCAGAAGAATGCTAGTTGGCCCCGACGGGAATGGAACCCGCACCCTTGAGATTGAGCGACAATACTCTAACTTCTGAGCTACGATGACAACTCCACCTCTCTGGTCGGTAAATTACATAAAATTACTTATAATGACGGTTTTTCTCTTATTAGCCTTCAAGCAGCTGATAGAAGTATATCTGTTCAAAGTTCCCCTGTAGGAGTGCTATTGGGCCGCAGCAGGCGGTTGCCTTCTTAGAAATTACCGGCGAAGGAAAAAAGCACCGCTTTTATTCAGGAATTCCACAAACATAGGCTTCCTTGTCTCGTCTACACAAAGAATAGGAAGGAATTTTTTGACCGTTCTACGTTCTTCTTTAATACTCACATGTTCCAAAAAATTCTCTAATTCCCCTAACTTTTTCCCTAGTTTCCATAGCTCTCAAGGTTGGCGGTGGAGGGGGTTAATTTGGGATCTTTTCGCAGAGTTATACACGTTATTAATTTTACTACTACAAGTAGTTTCCTTTGTTATTAAAGCTGTTATTATTGTTAGTATTAGTATATTAAGGCCTGCATGCCAATTGTCTTCAACTAGACCATTTGGGTCTTTATAAGTACAAGCGCGCTCGAGGTATTGACTAATAACATTTATAAAAGTATTTTTGCTAGATAATAACCTTAAAAAACTTGTTTGACGTAATTCCTTGAGGGAGACTAAAGGTTATTCTAGAAATTCGTGAGTATAGTCTCATGTTAGTAACGTTCAACTAATGCGCTATCCGTACTAATATTATCAAAGTTGTAAATACCCTTAGATCGTACGCCATCGTTAACAATAGCGAATTATATAACTGTAAGACCAATCCTTCTCCAATAATTTGGTAAAAAATATGGCCTTTATGTAAAAAGTATAGAAGAAATTATTATTCTTCAAAAAATTTACACAGAAAAGTGAATAGACGGGCACCTACGTTTTAAATAGAGGTATTAGCCAGTAGCCCCCTTTTCGATTGTTAAGCTTGCGGTTCATGGAAGGAAACCCCAACCAAATATTAGTAATAGTTAACGTGGCTAAGGGTTTCTCATCGGCGTCATTTTCCGTAGCCTGACTAGGTTAGAATCTTGATCGTATTATATATTTACATTAAAATCTTTTAAGTATTTTAAATTTTTCAAAGGATGAAAGACGTCCAGGTTCCTTTTAATTTTTTATTGAATAAAACCTTATAAGATGATAAGGGCCGTAGTGCTGTCGGGATCGGGATGGTTGTTTCCTTGGCACGTAGGCGTTGTTTCGGCTCTTGCAAAGGAAGGCCTTCTTAAAAAAGAAAGTATTAATTCATACACAGAAAACAAAACTCAAAGTAATTTTTTATTACTTCAAATATATAATAGTTATTTCTTATCGCAAAGATATAACCGGAAATAGTACCGCAACTGCAAATACTCGCTTTTATGGTACGTCTGGAGGGAGTGTAGTAGCCTCTGGATTTGTTTTTGGACTGAGGTTGTCTTTCTATTATTGATATTGTGTGGTAGATTTTTCTTTCTTAAAATTTGAATTTTTGGTAGCGGAGAAGAGATAATGGAACTTGGTATAGAAGTAGCTAGAATGACGCGTCAACATGGATTATTGGGAAACTTGGATAGACTTATCAAAGAGATCGTAAAGAAAAAAGTTGCCTCTAGACAAGTTGGGGTAAACCCTCGGAACTTTAAAGATCTTTTTATATGCGTGACTTCGCTTACTTCGAAAAACAATAAGCCCGAAGAACCTTCTAGTTGGTTTGGTAATCTAGCTTGCTACAATAGAAAACCTTTATTTATTTATAACAACCTCTCAAAATCGATCTTTTTTCGTATTTCACAACTTTTTAAAAGACCTGATTTGCTCAATGATTTTAAGAGCGAAGAAGATGTTTTGGATGCCTGCATTTGTTCTTCTTTTATCCCCTATTACACTGGAAAAAAGTTATATAAGGAGTATAAAGGCAGTATGTACGTTGATGGCGGGTTGTTTTACTCTATCATTCCTCCCTTTGAAGAAAAAGAAATTGAATTCCTGAAAACTAGTAATTCGAACTTTTCTTTGTTTCAAGTCGAGTCTTTTAACGAATCACACGTCGCTCTGCCGAATAATTTTACTTGCCCCAGTAAAGATATTATTATCTCCTGCCCTCTTCCACTATTAGCCAGAAAAGCGGCGAAGAGGGCCCAACTTTGCAAAGAGTTGGACATTCACATAATAACTCCTCCGCGTTGCTTTTCCCTTTTCCAGTTGCTTCGTAAGTCACTTTAGGACAATTCAACTTTACTATTAACAGTTTTGATATTAATTAACAACAGGATATACTCTTGTTCCAGGGCCTGAGACTTTTTTACGTAATTTAGAGATTGCAGGAAAAAACGCAGCCCGTCTGTGGATGTTAAATAAAGAAAACTCAAGTAACTCGTACTTGTAAATTTTCGAAGAAAACAGCCACTCAACGCTGTTTCTAAAACTATTTTGATTGTGCTTATTACTAGTTTAGTCAATCATTTGGGTTTAAATAAATTTAGTTTTGTTTATACTCTATGGTCGTGCTGTTTTTCATCTCTTTACTGTTCTCTCCTTTGCCTGTTCCCTTTCACTCGAGTTGTGTAATGCCTTTAATAATAACTGTCAAGTGGAATATATTTTTATTTTGAAATCGCTATCGTGGAGAATTGATTAGATAATAATTAGGCACATAATGTGAACTCTAAGGGTTAAGGTTAAGGGTTATGTCTAAAACAATGTTGCAACTTTTTTTTCCCTTTTTATTATCGCTTTATATTAAAACTGGTAAAATACGTTCGTAATAATTTTAGTATTCGTGAGAAGAAAAATGCTATAAAAAAACCAACAAGTTTAGGACTGCCTATTATTTCGCTTGTAACGAGATATTCCTCACTGCTTTACTTTTTAAAAACTACTTAACTTTTTTATATGAAATAAAGGGGCTATAACGTAAAAAAGAATCTTAACTTCTCCCCCCTGTATTTATTTATAGTTTTAGTCGCTATAGCTTAAAATATATAAACTGTGCGTATTGCTTAAATTGTATGTAAAGTAGTTGAAGAATGTAGAGTTAGGGCCTTTATAATTTAGTTACCTTCTCTCAATCCGAAGGTCAGTGGTTATTATATGTATTCTTATTTAATTTTTCATAGCTCCAGAAAACAGTTACCTTTAGAGCATTGATTTATTATTTTCATAAAAGTAGAAGTCACACTAACATACCTTTGAGCTGCAACTACCATCCACAAGGTTGTAAAAAGGCTAAAGCCTTTACATGGGCAATGCAAACTACTTTAGGTGCTTCTAAAAGAGTTGGGGCCTTGTAATCTCCACATACGTACCCCTGCCAGCGACTTTTTTAAAACAAACGGGGAATAGGAAAAAAAATAGTCAACAGATTAAGGTTTTTTAAAAAGGTAAGTTTATTTTTAAAGAAATAAATGAAACCCATTAAAACTAAATAAATTACATTTCTTTAATGAAGTAAAATTTTGGCAATATTTTTCAGTAACAAGTTTTCTAATGTTTTATAAAAATCGTTGTAAGGTAAAAAAACGCTGAAGGTACTCGGAAGAACTGCTTGCTTAACTTCAACTACTTATAGCCTTCAATTTTACATTACATGATTATTACTGATAAGCTCATAAAGACGAAAAAAGTATATAAAATTGTTTTTACCGTTTAGTCACCCAGGGGACGAGAGTGAATTTCACTTGTTTGTGCCTTCAAACTTCTAGTGGTTACGCAAAGTTCTCGCTGTAGCCATTCTAATAAAGGAGTTCCTCTTAAATTCAACCAGTTCATCCGTTGCAACGTTTACAAGCGACAAATTTTGGTAGTTGTAAGTATTCCAAGAGAAAATTTCTCCTTTCTACTTTCCATTATATAAAAGTTTACTAACAATTTCCTTTAAAAATCTTATACTTTTTTTTATTTGAGGCAGCAGTTAATACTTTACTTGGCCAACAAATAATAACATATTGCTAAGTTTTCCGAGATCTTTATGACGACCAGTTTAAATTTTATATATGACCCGTAATAAATATATAAAAATAACTGGAACGGGGGAATGCAACTCACAACAGCTTAAGCAAAGGCCCATAAACCTTCACTTGCATACGACAATTGTTACTGATGAATTTTTATGAAGCTCTTTGAATACAAAGAAAAGTCAATAACTGCTATAACTAATAAGAAAGAATAGAATCTTATTTTTTAATTATAGAAAAATGGTATTTTTTTATAAATAATTTAGTTCTTGGTACAGGACTGTACAATGTTCCCCCAGCGTATATATGTTCAGAGTCCTATTCAAGTTTGTTAGCAATGTGGTCAATAAAAATGTATTTTAATCTATGCTCTGTAACAAACGTTCAACAAATAATTTAGCAAACTTTTAAATAAAGAACAAGCAAAAACTCAACTTTTCGTGCTCTCACCAGAGAAATAACAAAAAAAGTATAGATTTGTGTTATACGAAGAATGAAGTATTAAAGCTTTGGTGTAATTGACCTTTATTTTGTTTTAACAAAAATTGGGTAGCCTTATTATGTGAAAGACCTATATTGAAAGGGTTTAACATGCTAAACGATTGTAAAAATACTATACGTATGGTACAGAACCATGTTCAAGAAAAGCGTCATTTCCTTTTATATCTGTCAGTTCAAATAAAAATAATCATTTTTTAATACGCGATCGATTAACAAGTTACGCAAGCGTCGGTCGTTTGCAAGTATGAGTCAAGTTTTATTGAAACAATCCTAGTGCCCTTTGCGTTTGACCTAGGGTTAAAATTGGTCACGCTGTTTGACGCCAAAAAAGTATTTTTCTCGAACAGACAGGGGCAAAAGTTACTTGGGGTCTAACTTTCTTGCCTGCGTTTTAAAGAAAGAGTTTTCGTTGTTTACTGGCTCATTTAAATAGTACAGGTTACAAAACCAATTTAAGATGGTGTAAAAAAAAATAGCTTTAAAATCTTTCTGGTGTTGGGGTACATTGCGCTTTTTGTACATCGCATTGGGCCTGGTTTTTACCGTTTTGGCCTTTTAGAACTGTATTTGACATAATACTCCCAAATTAGCTCTCCAGCTATAAGCCTAGGTATGGGAACGGTCTTCACCGAACCACTCCAAAAAGTAGGGCCAATTTTAAGGAAGCAGATTTATCATTGATAGTACCTAGTCTTAACAAATTCTAATAGGTGGCCTCACAGATCTGGAAATTGGTTTTCTAAACTTTCGAATTAGATAGAAGTTAAAGTTTAGTATGACCTGCATCCTAATGTCTCAATAAACAAGTGTTTAAAAATTAACGTTATTTTTTTTATTTTGTGTAAAAGTAAAAAATTTAAAGCACAAGGGACCTACTGCGACTACTAATGTCTAAATGAGCAAGCAATACTGTAGGGTTAAAGACGGAAATTATACGAGTCGGCTTCGTGCTAATCCCCACGGTATCCATACCCTTGAGAAAAGTTTAATGCAATATTTTTAATACACTACATTAGCTATACCTCAACATTACTATTATAGTGCCTATTGGTAATCGCGGAAAAGCAACGCTAGGTGCCTTACATGGAGCGTTTAGCAAATCCTTTAGTTTGAGAAATTTTTTGAGGCAATTAGTCAAAACTTCACCTTACGCGTCCGTAATTCTTCCTGAGCTGCACGCGTTTTAGATGTTTCTCCTGAGAACGTGCTTGTCTCTATTTATTATATATTTGAAGGAATTACGGTCTCTAATTTAAATATTTTTCCAAGACAGAGGTCGTTACCCTAGGGGGCTTGTCGTCTTGCCGTGATGTGACAGCCCCCTTTTTCCTAAATTGCCATTACTACTTCAATATTGTTACCATCCGTCGTTAGTGCTTACTATTACTATTTCTAGGGCTACCGTTTTATTTCATTTATTATTTTTAAGAAATTTAATATTATTACTGTGCTATTAATAAGGTTATTATTTAATAAATTGTTTTTTTGAGGATACCTCACTCATTTTTATGTCTTCTCGAATGACTTCTTAAAATAGTCTAGGAGTAGCACCGCAAAATAAGTAATACGCTTGTAGTTCTCAAAAGTAGTGTTAATTTGTAATGTTAATTTCTGTTTTATAAGTTTTCTTACAAAATATATTTCTTTATTAGGTATAGAAATTTTGCTTTAACTTTTTTAGCTGCCTAGAATTAACGGCAGAGTTTGCGATCAAAAAGTTAGCCTTAAGCCTCTTTTATAAGGTATTCTTATAAAAGTTAACGCGACCATGTAAATAAATATAATATAAAGTGATTTTTTAGTCCTTTAAAGATATTAACATGTATATAACTTAAACCAAACAGTTAACAGAAGTAAAATAAATATTTATATTGACTTGAATAAGCTTAAAAATAGCTTCAAAATAACCATAGTTGTAGTGGGTTACTTATAAAAATATCACCTGTTTGCAGGTACACTCAGAGATGGCAAGGATCTTTATTGTCGCCTTGACTGTTGACATTCCCGCATTTGAGTATGACCAAATTATGCACATTTTCTATCGCTCACTATGTTAACGCCCACGCCATGTGCTGCAGGAAAAAGCGCTGGCTTCAGCTGCCTGACCATCCTTGGAACTTGGCTCCTGAAATGGAAACTGAATGTAAACCCACCCAAAAGTAGTTCCCTACTTATCTCTCCTGGAGAAAAAGGAACAATTTAATTAGGCGTGTTGTTCCGTAAAGGATTCATGTTATTTTTTATTTAAAAAGCTTAAGTGGATTACGTCACTAAACAGGCAAATGTTCCTAGGGCAAGTTTGATTATCTCCTCTGCTGCTCAAACAGGCTTCCATGACGTAACAACCTTCCCCTCTACGCGGCGTGTATGTACAATCATTACCGCTACATGCCCTCGCTTATATTACACATAAAAACCTCAGAGTACTGTATTTTTAATAATGCTTGCGAAGAATTGCTACGGCTCTTTGTTTTCTAATAGTCAGCTACATAAAGAATGTCAACCGAAACCTATAGACATTTTTTATATTAAAGCGCGCACAGCAATTCTGCATACATACAGCGAATACACTATTTAGAAGCTTTTGAAATATTTAGAAGGTCAGTCGATATAGATCGGACAGCCTAATAGGCAGACTGCCTTACAGTTTTCTAGGGCGTCTTCGCGACTTTTTTTTGTTTGTTTTTGTGGTTGAAAAACTACCCACCCTTAAATACAAAAGAGGATACGTTAGGCAGTCAAGCAGATTATGACTTCTAAATAAAATGCTTGCTGATATGAAGGCGGATATATATACAATTTGTCATGGAAGTCAAACTTACTATTACGTGTAATAAAAGCGTGAGTTACTAGGAAAAAACAGCTTTGAGGAAGCTAAAATTTTCTGGTCAAGGCTAAAAGCTACTATACCAGATTTTATGATGAATCAAGTAGTGTAACTAAAAAATAAATAATTTAAATTTTGATTTATTTTTATCACATTAAATTCGTGGCATTTATAACGGATTAAATTACCCATCACACTAAAAAGGGAGGAAAGCTTATAAGGAGGTGAACCATCTTTAAGGTTTTGGATCCTTACATAATTAAAATTCGTACTCACTATTTATAACAGTATAACATTGGTTTCAATTTATTATATAATAATAAATTGTCTAATAAAAAGCTACTTTTTTTATAAAAAAGTTATTGCGGTTGCAATATATAATATTTGGAAGTCGAACAGAGCGAGCTATTGTATTTTAAATCGTAATTTTCCCCTCGCGCTGGCATGCCAGGGGTGGCAAGCAGGCTGTGGAGTGATAGGGTAGTAGATAGCTTTTTGTATACAATTGTGGAGAGAGGATATTGAAATGTGTTTGAGTTCTCTTTCTTCTCCTCTTGAAATGAAATCACTACCTATACTGAAGTCAGATTTTGTTGAATTATCTCCTTATTTAAGGTTTACAATTCAGCGTTTCTATGGTAAATTATTATTGTCAAGTTAGAGTTTAAGGAATTATGTGATCAAGAAGTACGAACTGGCACCTGAAACTTTCGAGGAAAAGTTTGAGTTTTTTGAGAGCTTAAGAAATGTGAGTTGCTATTATTAGGTTAATTAAAAATATAAACCTTAACTAACAATCCTTATAAATGTAACAATAAGTTATAATATTGCATACTTATTATCATGGCATTAAGAAAGCAAGAGTTAATATCTATTGTAAATTTATAATTCAAGGAAACTTTCAAGGAGGGGTACTCCTTAGAGCAAGTTCTCGAAAGGTCTATGAAGTACAGTGGACAGCTTTTATATGCTACTACAAAGTTTTTAAATTGTGAAGTAGAGAGTCTTTGGTATAATAAATATTTTTGTCACTTCTGTTTAGCCAAAGTAATAATAAAAAAAATTTAATTTAATTCGAAACGTCTTAATTTTATAAGTATTTATATAAAAATATATCCATCTTTGTTTTAAGGATATTAGATAAGACCCGCTTAGTTACCCCCTTCTTAAAAACTCACAGTTTATAGATAGTTGCGCTCACAACCTTTCTCTTATCGTACACTCCGCAGGTATACTGACTCGGCCTTTCCTAAGCTGGCGGTGGATGTGTTTACCGAAGAACCTGTTATGCTTCTATTCAGGATAGGAGCCATTTTTTCTTCTCTAGGAGGTTGGATTCGCGTGCCTTAATAAAAAATTAGTATAACTCAAAACTGCTATTCTCATTGTTTTGTATTCTTTATGTCTACTGGCATATAAGCAAGTTTTCTTGTTAGTCTGTGTTTCAGTTTATGTTGTGCTGCTTTATGGACTTTCGACTGACTTAGTGCAAGTGGATCGAACTGCGGCTGAAGGTCCTAAAAGAGCTTGCGCATTTTTTCAAAAGGCTGCTGGCGCCTATGAGTATGCTTCAAGGTCTTCCTTATTAGCTCGTGGGCATGAGCTTTTGGCTTTGTGCACTTTTCTGAAGCTCTCCTACTCCGTCTTGCCTTAGGTTGCTCAACGCTTCCAAGCTTGCGAAGCACTCTATCCTATTAGCCGCCGCCCACCGATTAAAGTTGCTCTGTTTGGTAGTATCTGGCGATACGCCTTGGAAAAAATCGCTTCTTCTGCTTCTTTCGCTGCTTCGTTAAGGCTCAAGCTCAAGAGTGTTTCTTTGAGCGCTCGCTGTCTGCGGGGATAAGACCGTCCATTGTGTCCAAGCTTTCTTATCAGTGCTCAAAGTACTACTCTGAGGCTGCCGCAACGGCACCTGGGCCATCCCTATTAGTCACAGAAGGTGCAAATAAGCTGGCTCAATCTGCCCGCCTTTTTAACTTGATGTTCTGCGTTTCAACAGAACATCTGAAGCTTATTAAAGTGAAGGAAGAGTTGTTTTATATAATAGCGCTGTACTACGCTGGACAGAAGGTTTTTCTATGCAGCGGGCAGCAGCACTACTTAATATGGTACTGCTCCCAAGTTAAAGGGGGAGGGCGAGTACGGGTTCTCTGTGGCACATCTCAAGTGGGCGGCAGAAAAGGCCAAAACCCTCAAAAGGGGACTGGACAGCTCCAAAAGCCACCCTCTCATCGCTGGCGTAACTTTTCTCTTTCTTGATTAAACTGTATGTAAGGGCTAGACTCCGGCTAGGTGGTCGCCGCACTTGTGAAGGAGCTGGCTGAAAAATTTGAGAGGGCTTTCGAAGATAACAATACAATCTACCATGAAACCGTCGTCTCGTCGCTCCCGCCGTTGGAGTCGTTTTCCCTTGCGAAAGTGTTCACATGCTTAATAAAAATAAACCTCGAGGCGTCCCCTCCCTGTTTGTTCCAGGTTACTGAGTATCCATGGGGGTACAATATGGATGTGCTTGTAGACAAAACACTGTTCTCTGGCCTTGTTTCATTGGACATCACTCTGTCCCTCTCCGCCTACAGGTGACCAGTCTCTAAGTGTTACCCCAGGCGGACTTACTCGGTATCGCCTTATAGCGAGGAGAAGGCCAAACTTCTTAGACAAGTTTCCGATGACTTTCAAACGGCCTCAGCTGAGCTGGAGCGCCGTCTGGCAGATATAAACGTGTCCAGAGCGCTGGAAAGTGGTGCGTCTTGTATAACCCTCGACCACTTTTTCCGTTACTCTTTGCTCCTCGTCGTGACTAGAACTTTCTTTTAGCGGATATTTCTTTAAAAAAAGGCAGGCGTGCTTCGCCGTTTCTACACGCGAGTATGCACGCCGGCTAATGGCGGTTGATAACTGTTCCCTGGAACTTTTGGGTGCTTCTCTTCTCCGCATCCCTCCCAGACTGCTTTATCCACTATTTAACAGAGATAGTCAAGAAACTTAAAGCGGTCTCTCCAAAGGATCTCGACGCCTTTGCAGTGGCGAATGAGCAATTTATAAGAGAAAGAAACGGAATTACTCAGGCTGTTCATGCTGTCCGTGTGTTGAATAACCCAGTAGGCGGCTCTACTTATTGTTTTCTATGCAGGCTCTCAAATCCAACGTGGCTCTACGGAAAGAGGCTTGTAGTATGTGCAACTCCGGCTTTTATTTCCTTATACTCTACCGTTCGCTCAGTTTTGTTCTGTGCGGGAGAGCATTGAAAAGCTGTGCCAGCCGTCTTTTCCAGAAAACCTTCCCTCTTTGCCCTCTACCGCACTTGAGGCTTCCCAGCAGGTCCGCGTGCAGTTGCAGGGCCTAATGAAACGCATCGAGAAGATGTTGCTCCACAGAAGTGATATTGAAGTGGAATTAAGGAAGATGGTGACCTTCTCGAAGTTTTGCACCGTGCTCTGCGCTTCTTTTCCCGCTTCTTCTCGCTTTAAAGATTACCGAAGATGACATAACCACCCGCCTTTCTGAAATGGAGGCGAATCCCCACGTGGAGGGCCATACAAGAAAGGCAATGCAAGAAGAGATCATTACTAGCGAACTCGAGAAGTACAACGATATATTAGAGACGGCCAGGCTCAATCTTTCTGCTCAGCAGCCCCTTTTGAAGTTAGCTGTCGTTAACCGCTACCCCTGCGTAGTTTCCCTTTGCCTGCTACATACGTAGGGCAGTTTCGGACGCCGCCGCAGCAGTTTTCATGAACGTTGGCGGAGGTGTTTTTCTATAGTCTGTAGCTCCGCACCCATATGAACATGCTCGCAAGGCGCGCTTGGGGACTTGGTAAGAAGGCTGAACGTGGACAGCGAGAAGTATATCCAGCTCATCGACCTGCTGAGGTCAACAACACGTGTCTTCCGATCTAAGTAGGCGCCCTCATTGTTTCTAGTGAGAGCGAATCCTTTTGGTCGGAAGCTAAACTTGAAGCTACTCGACTTTGGGACATGTGTTTATTACAGAAAGCCGAGAGGTTTTTTTACAGAAAGCTGCATGATACTTGGCCTTAATTTTCTCGCAAAAGTGCAAAGTGCAGCCCTAAAAAGAAAAGACTGCCGCCGCCCGTCCCTGCAGAACCTCGACAATATCAACCAGCACCGTCTTTTAGCTTACAAAAGTGCATACCTTGCCAGTGACTACCTAACCTGCACACACGCACGTTGTTTACTAGTTAACAAATTCTACTTTTCAAGATCGCCGCCATTGAAGAAGTCTGAGGCGCTGACTTTAAACGAAGGAGCTTTGCCCATTGTTCCTTTTGCTAACCTCGAGGTGGTTATCCCGGAGTCCATCGGGCCCAGCAGGTTGCTTAGCATTTAATAAGTTTGGTTGACCACTGACAGGAATTAGCGGAGAAGACGTTTACAGTAACGGTGCCCAACGCCGACTGTTAACGCGCTTGCAGCGGTATCAACGGCAAATACCAGAAGAAGGTCCTGTGAGCAATGCAGGGCCTGCAGGACCAGTAAGGAGCAGTCATCAGAACCTCCTTGAGCTAGTTGAGGTACCTGCTAGGCCCAGCTCTCGTACGAAACCTACGACTCGGAGAAGCCCGGGGGCGCCCCCACTGCCTCCCAAGCCAGCAGGGGGACAACAGCCGCCGAGCCACATGTAGAATCGAGAAGCGCAATTTTTAAAAAGTTTTTTTGGAAAAAGTCACCATTTTTGCTTAACTAACACGCTAATAAATGATCAAAAGACAACGGAACTTAGTTATTTTTTTATATTGAGAAAATAGCTGACAGCTTGTTAAAAAGGTACGAGCGCCGTCTTTTCAAATTCGGCAGGTCAAGCTTATTGGAGTTTTTTATTTCTTTTATTTGCTATTAGCAGCAAAAATGCTGGTAATGGTGGTGTATACGCCGCAACTAAGAAACCAACTGAGAGGGCGGCGCAGGATGCTAACTGACCAACAATAACCGCTCACCATTCAGATCTGTAGAGCGGGTGTCTACTTTGAAGCCTCTTTTATTCGAGGAAATTTTCGAAAAGAGACAGGAGACGGGTCTTGCCGCACGGACTCCAGTTTATTGAAGTGTTCTTTCAAGTACTCATTGGCTGCGCCCCAGCTTTTGATATTGATTGAACAGCACCTGCCGCCCTCTCCCGCCACCAGTTGAGCAATTTGCTTGGCCGACTTGAGTACTTTGCCTTTCCCGCTATGCTCCTGATGTCTTAAGCCATCATTCGAGTCGTCCGTCTCTGTGGTGTCCTCGATTGCCTCTCCACCCCCGTCAACGCCCTGGCGCTATGATTGCGCGAATCAGAAGGCTTAGAGGGGAACAAACATTAAAGCGAATAAATAACAGCAAAGCATTCGATGGTTAGGTCTCTGGGGGTCTTTCCTTGACCATTCTCAATGTTGACATTGGCGTTACATAGCAGCAGCATCTTCACAGTTTCGACGTGCTGGCTGCGTAAAGAAAGTACGCCGTAAGCTTAGAGGTTAGCGGGCGCAATGAAGAGCCGCACCCGACCGCGGCGAAATGCAGGGGTGTGTTCAAGCCTTTAGGCGTCCGCACATCGACGTCCTGGCCGCAGCCCTTTACGAAGAACAGCACTAGTACGGTCAAGCCTAGAGTTGCCGCGAGGTGCAGGCCCGTGACTTTATCTTTCTCGCGCAAAAAAGTCGAGGGGCCCGCTGTTGTAGCCGGACGGGTGGGGGGCAATGAATTAATTGGCCGTAACGAGCACGAGGTATCATAATATTTCCGGCGAAGTGGCAGGGATTTCACTTCACAGAAGCGGGAAGTTCCTGGTGTTTTTAAGGGTCGCGTAAGAGTGTTTATTGGAAGGAGCGGCAAGGCCCTACCAAACAGGCGGATAGAGAGGACTTGTTCAACCAAGGCGACGGGAATCGGAGTGGTCAGGTCTTTGTTGTGTGCCCGTAACAGCAGTAATAAGTAAACATCCTCCGCCTTCACAGCTTTAATAAATATTCGCTACAAAGACAGCAATAGGAGGCGAAAATATTAGAAAGACAGTCAAGGGACAGCACCAGCCAATGTTCATTCCAGGTAGAAGCGGGTAGAAATTTCTTGTAAAGGTACTTGGCATAGATAAATTTCTTTCGAGTTTGCCTCAAAAGGGTGCGCACAGTCACAAATTGAGGAGAAAAGGGATGTACAACAAGATGTGGTACATGCATGACTTTTCGTTCAACATCGGTGCAGCGAGGCGGGCTTGATAGACTCTGTTGCTCGTGAAGTTTCCTATAGCCTTCAATATCTGCAGTCCGCATCTTCAGTGTCGGTGATGGAAAAGAGCAAAGACGAAAAGGGAGACAAAAAGATCGGGAACTCTCAGCTTGTCGAGGTACCACGAGCGAATCTTCGATATGTGGACGCCCATTTCCCGATGGATGCCGGAGCACGCAATGCACAGGAATATCCCCAAATTCAGAGAGACCCAGACTGGGTCTTGCAGTAGAGAAACGGAAGGAGTAAGGAGGAAAAACGGGCTAAGCCTAGCCAGCCGGTCACCCACTTTTGGCTCCACACTCCGCGCACTCTCCGTTCCCGGGAAGCGTGGCCGTCTCATTCCGTAACCTGGCGTTCTCTAGCAAAGTTTCCTGAGCGTCTTTCTGCATAAAAATGGACCAATCCTGCAATGTTTTCCGATGTAGAAGGCGTAACTAACCTCGTTACCGCGGTTCTGGCGGGCAGATGCCGCAGTAATAGACTCATTGATTGCATTTCTGATACCCTCCACCCAGGACTTCTGTTCCGCCTCTAACAAAACTCACTCTTGTAAAAAAAGAACCATGCCGGGCGAGTGGCAATAACCAGAAGCCACGGAGAAAATGTAACTTTTCCGCAAGGAAATCAGCCGAAAGCAAAAGCGCCTGTCCTTTTGAGCTTCATCGCGTACCGTACAAGTTATAAGGGAGATCGACCGGAAGCTACTGGAGTCCTCGTGATAAAAAAAATAAAATTTATTGGTGGCGACCAAGGGAAAACGACAGCTGTGCAACCCTACCCAGGAGCTCGATAAGCTTAGCAGCTCCCCGGAAACAGAGCACCAGCGCTTCTTCCACACGCGGAAGTTCTTATGGTGGCGCTGGTATACCCACCCGCAGGTCTACAGAAATAATCAGCGGGCAACAGGAAGCGATCCAACGAGTACGACTTCCTTAGAGGCGTGTTCAGTATGGAGGACGCTAGATAGCTCCGGCTGAAGACGGCCCAGTTTGTCTAAAGCAAAAACTGCATTAAAGATCACAGAAGAAAAAAATTTACTACCCGACAGTTTTTTCTGGAGCGCCAGCAAGTCTTGGCGTTCGTTGAGATAAACTAAGTTCTCCTGTTCCAATCAAAAGTTCAAATACTTGTAGTATTTTAGTAAATAAAGAATTTGCCTGCTCAAGATCTAGCGAAAGGTTTTTTAAGAAAGGCTCAAGTTGTTTAAGAGATTGATAGCCGAGCTCAAAAAACTTTAGCTGAGAGTCGTACAGATCCGTCTACGAAACGAAGAAGGTTCAAGATATTACGGGTGACAATTATTAAAATTCACAGAAATCTACCAAAGTTAACAGGAAAAAAAGCTCATTTTTAGCCTTTAAGTCTTTGAGGCTGAGCAAATACTCGCAGGTTGCCAGCTGCAGTAGAGCCTTCTCTTCCTTTAAGTCAACCTGAAGTAGAAGATTTAGAAATCAGTGCAGCGCTCAATCTATATATAAAAACCTCTCCCCTTTCACCTCGTTTGTGTTTCCACCTGGTTATAGCCTTCTCAAATTTTCTCTTGTAATCCTCAAAGTAAAGATTAGATGATATATTGTTGAAGGACCAAAGCATACCAGGTCAGAACCATACACCCTCATCAACTCGTCAAGGGCGTTGCAAGCTCTCGACAATGCTTGTTTCACAAACTAAAAATAACAATACCAGTACTATAATAGCACAAAACGGCTGAATTTAATCTATTTCGTTTAGTAATTAACGCGCTGGATATTTTTTTAATTATACTTTCACACAACTTGCAGAAAGCAGAGCAATAAAAAAAGCTCTGCAGCTAAAATCTATATAAGAGTGTATAGTAACGTTCTTCTATGTCTTTTGAAACCTTTAATATTAATTATCTCTGCTTAAAAGCAGTTACTACTGCACGTATTTAAAAAATTGTATTATTAGAAATAATAAAATTGATTTAAAAAGGCAATAATTTTTTAGAATGGTAAATACACACTAAGTGTCGGAGATCGACCAATTCCTCACTTTTTTGCGAAAATGACAAGTAAGATTCGTGAAGTTTGGAGCCACCAAGAGTGAGTTGAAGAGTTCCATATGTTGATAATTCTTTGGCAAAAGAAGTTTCATTCTGTAGCATAACTATTTAAAAATAGTGGCCAAGTGAAAAAGATTATAAATAATAAGGACAAACCTTCAGAAGCCGAAACCAAATTTTTCATGTTCTTGGCAATAGCTTTTAAGGCTTTTCTTTTGCTTTCAAGCATCTTACAAAAAAGAAGTGTGTATATTAAAATTCTGACAATAAAATTAAAGCGCTTACTTCCTCTACACTGCTTAAAATGCTACGAAATTCTTTAAAAGACTTTAAAAACTCGTTATTTGAATTTTTAAGATCGCAGTTAATACTATTAATAAATTCCTTTTCCAGGGCAAGTTGAAAAGAAATTTCACCGAGTTCTGGTTTCAACTTGATAGAACCCCTATTTCTAACGACTGGAGTTAAATCCGGTAATGCAGGCGATTTAACTAAATTCTGAAGATTTTGCTCTCCACCATTATGATTCTTATTAATTTTCATATTGCTTAGATTCACAACCTTTTATAAATTCTTCCAGCAAGTTGCACCCTACACACGAAGCTTTAAAAATAAAAATGCACCAATTCTAAGTCGTCAGTGACATATGCAAGTTCGAGCTGAATTTTCGGTGATAAAGCAAAGCGGGAAAGCTATTCGCGGCGGCTAAACTACAATTTTTAAAATTTAATCATCACGGGGCCCATGCCTACATAATTCTTAAAGTTGTAAGAACGTCATTTTAATAATAGGAAAGACCAGTTTTGTTAAATTTAATTTATTTTAATGCAGCCATTTCATTTTTTAGTTAATTTCTTTTATAACTTTAACGTTCTCTATTTTGTCTACACAGATCCATATATAGTGATAAATTGTTCAAATCGCAACAGTATTTTTATAAATATTTCAAGTACTAATTTGTCTAAATTTCCTTTTTAAAAAGCGCGTAGATCGAGGCAGACTCATTTCACTAGTATTTGCGTGAATAAAAATATCAAATGACTATATTAAATGTTACACTTGAAAAATAATTTAAATATCCCTCGGAAGCCTGTGTGCAATAAAAATTATTTTAAACTATAATCCTTATAAATATTATATATTCTGTTATGTTTAATTATGCGCTTATTCTTAGTTCAAGGAAGTCAAATAGTAGTTTGAAAATAAGAAACTCCTTTAAGCAAACTAAGCAAGCGCTCACCAAGGATTGGCTAGAAAAAAAGTGTTGTTGCTGTTTTTTTAGCACTGGCATACTACGGCCGGTTTTCTTCAGGCCTTAATCCGCTCAAAATGAATTCCCCTTTTCTGCGGAAGTTGGGGGGCGAAGGCCCACCTGTGTTACGCTCTTTAAAGTTCTATTATGCCTGCCCGACGGAAAAAACAAAAATGCTGAAAATATCGGGCCCGGACTCCCGCCATCCGGTCTAATGTGTTGGAAAACCGCTAAAACCCCCACCGGAGAGGCAGTATTAAGCACCTACCAGCACCGCTGCCAGTCACCCGGCCATCAGCTCCTCATCCCAGAGGGGTTTTACTAAAATTATACATATATTCACCATATAAATTAATGCAATTAATCTAAAAGGCACCCAATAAAAAATAAATAGTTACTTAATTACTCGTACCTCGTTTTGTGCCATGAGGTGAATAAATTTTAAAATAGTTACCTATGCAGACCTGCAAAAAACAATTTTAAATTATGAAGCCACCATTAAATTAAATTTCTCGCGTACTTGAAAAGGAGCCCAATAAAGCTAACAAATACCAATGCCGTAGTACTGCCTCCTTGCGCGGAGGGCGTCCTATTTTCGACATGTGGAAAAGGCTAACCCTTTTATGCCGATCATAATTCCACCACACGATACATGAACGCCCGTATTAGAAAGAACAAATTCAAAAATATTAAGTTATTGTTATATATAAGTCTTTAAAGTGCGAGCAAGAGTATTTTATTTGTTTAAATAGATAACAACAATGGAAATGCGAATTCAAAAGGTTTATATGGTAAAATATGCCAAGTTTAATAGTTTTAAACGTATATTTAAGGAGACTTTATTGCTGTTGCAAGATCCAGAACCAGGCTTTATATGTTCGCCGGATCCAGATAACTATGTAAACAAACACTATTAGTATTTCTTCTACTAAATAATACTTAGCTTTTCAAAATAGAGGTACTTCCATATTACTATGGATGGCCCGAAGGATACACCTTACGCCGGCGGAAACTTTCAGTTGGAGTTGTTCCTTCCTGATGGTTATCCTATGGTACCACCCAAAGTTCGCTTTCTTACCAAGATTTATCATCCAAACATTGACAGTCTTGGTCGGATTTGCCTTGACATTTTAAAAGGTCTTACAAATTACTAATAATTTTAAAAATATTTGCTTGCAAATATTATATTTCTCAGATCAATGGAGCCCTGCACTACAAATCCGCAAAGTTTTAATTTCCATTCAAGTTTTGCTTTCTGTACCTAATCCTGACGACCCTCTTTCTGACGACGTTGCTGAGATTTGGAAAACTAACGAGAAGTTGGCCTTAGAAAGAGGTTTTCATAAATGCCAGCCTTCAATTAGATAAAAAACTTCTATTTTTTTCTTTATCTACTCTCTTTTAGCTCGCTGGTGGACAGAAATATATGCTTGCAAAAAGAAGTAGAACGAAAACTGTAAAACTTTATAAACTTTTCGCTTCCGAGTTTTTATCTATAAGCTTCATTTAAACTGCTCAACCATCTTAACGTTGTTAGAATCAGCGTTAACAAACAGAAGAGCGGCCATACATTTACTTTGAAACGAGTTAAATATCGGCTTTATTCTTTCCGTTGACCTCCGCGGCGAACCTATCGAACTTCCCCCCTCCCCCGGGACACCCTTATACTTAAGGAGAGCCGCTTCCAATTGTCTCTGCTGTTCCAACGTCCAGGCCTCCCCTGCCTCCTTTCTCGCTCCTGACCGATCTGAATCCAATAATACTGATTTCACTCGCTAAAAAAACTTTGCAGCTGGAAATGCTCGTAAGTTTAACCTTCCTGATAGAAGGCTTTGCTCCGCTCGATGTCTTTCTCCTGCAAAGTAGATCCTTCGCAGCGAGTAGTAATGAAGTCTTGAATATTTTTCCACCTATTTAACGAACCGGAAGGGAACTTTTTTAGTGCTTTAAATAATAATTCAAGTTCCTGCACAAATCCAACAGTTAGTATAGATAAACAAAGGAGATACGATGTCCTATACTTTGCTAGTCCATACGTGCGTTGCGCCGTGTCGGTTCGCAGCGGTCTCAGCCTTTATTAAGCTGCACTGCATAACTATGATCTCGTTCTAAACAACTTTTGCAATGGTAGAAGACCAACCCGCCTCTTATATTCGCCGCTCGGCGAAGGTTCAGAAGCGTCCGGCGAGTTCTGTTTGGTGTTTTCTGCTTCAGAAACGGCAAGCATAATGTCCATTTCGTTGAAGTCTTTTATCAGTTCTTCAAGTTTCTAAAAACAATACAAAAAAAATCCAACAATTGAAAAACCGAAGGGGTAGCTGAGCAACCTCTGCAGCGACCGTTTCTGCAAACTTCGTAATTCGTTGCATATTATTGATATGCTGCTTAAAGTCAACTTCCGGGGCACAAAAGAACTTAACCGACTTGACTTTATTCAGAAAGTTTTCCCGCTGTTTTTTGCGAGCTGTGTCAAGTGCCTTTTGGTTTTCTCTCCTTTCCACCATCTACAAAAAAATAAAAGGTTTCATCGTCCTGAAACTACGAGCGCCAGAGAGCATCTTCACAAAAAAAAAATAAAGTCAACTCGTTATTATAAAAGTTACCGCTTTCTTAGGAACGCCCACTCCTGAAGGCTTACAGTCGGGGATTCCTCTAACAGCCTTCAGCTTTCCCTCGCGAGCCGCCCTTAGCTTGGTCTGCCGCGCTGCCTCCTTATCTTTTCTTTCCATTTCTTTAAACAGCTTTACGCTTTACAAGTATAAGAAAATAACTTTATATGTAGATAAATGCGACTTTTCAAATCAAAACAGTTACGTGAAAATTAATTCTCTAATAAGTAATGCTACAAGTAATAATCAGAGTTTTATGATTACCGGGGATCCAACTTGAAGGCGGTGTCCACCAACTTTAAGATGCGCTGATTTTCTTCTTTCTTCCTTCGAGCTCTTTCATTTTTATTTTTCTTTTCTAGCCAACGCTTTTCTTCTCGACTAGCTTAAATATACTAAAAAATTGCTACGGGGAATTGCAATTAAAGAACTTTGTAGCTTTTGAAACATCCTCTTCGTCTAAGTAAGAAAATTCTCTCCAGCTTTTGAATTTATACCAAAAATTATAAAACTTCTCAACTTCATTTCTTGAAGAATTTAAAGTTCCCAACTGTTTAAAATAGTAAGCAACGAGGCTAGCAATTTGAAACCCAGTAAACCTTAGGAACAGATTTAGCTATCGAAAATTTCGCATTTCTCTCAAAAACTGGAGCAAACGTTTCGAAGAAATCGCCCTCGATTGCTTCAGGAATGTAATCATCAAAAGCTAACAAAAGTAGACCATAAATATAAATTAACCAGCGGCGAAACTAATAAAAAACCTGGATCTACGCTATCATAAGAGCGACGTTTAACAGAATCAGAGAGCCATTCATGCGCTAAATTAATGTAGAGAAGTAGATAAGAATGGAGTACATATTATCCACTTCTACCTATTTTTAAACATTTAAAATAAGAATCGTCGTCGGAGCCATCGGGAAGTTTTTTTTTTTTATCTGGGTGGTGCTTTAGTACCAATGCCTTATCTAAGTGTAAAAAAGGTCATAAATAAAGTGAAACTATTTATCAATAGAATAATACATGCTCTATTAATATTCTCTTCCGTGGCTAAATAACGAAGCTTGTGAAGACCAAGTATTTCGTAGTGATCTTGTTTTTTCCAAGAAGAAGGGTTTAAACCAACAAGATTCAAAGGCTATATGCAACATACGTAAAGAAATCCAAAATTCAAATATAAAATGCTAATAAAAAATATAACCTCGAAATATTTATTAAAGATATCGTTGTCTTCTTTCTTTTTAGTGGTAGCGGTTTCGCTTTCGTTATCTAAAGAAGATACAAGTGAAGCTTGCTGAGTTAACCTCTCAAATGCGAAACCAACGGGTTCTACGCGAACTAAAAGTCTCTCTACCATAATTAAAACAGTAAGTAAAATAAGTGTGTAAGTAAATATTTATTACCTGCAATAGGCGAAACTTTCTTTTCATCTAAACTCCAAACAGAAGGAAGTGCTGGCAATGGAGAATCAAGATAGAGCATAAGCTTCTAGTATATATTCAATGAGGCTCAATATATAGAATTAGGTAAGCAGCCCCAATAAGTAACAAAAAGTATTTTTAAATAGCTTATAATAACTGCCTGAAAGCCACATGATCTTCACGAGGAAACCCCTGATTTTTATAAGCCAACTTCGGCGGGAATAAATTCAAAGAGCTATACCATAGTAGAGTTTTCCATTTACAAATTTAGCCACTTTTGATTGTTGTGTGTATCTTATGTTATGGTGGATTGGGGTAAAATTGTGCTACGTTTGTTTATCATTGGAGTAGACTACATTAATTCTTTAGAAAGCATTTGTTTTTAGGCCCCCTGTACTCAGAGAAACGTATAGATGTCTTCTTTATGTACAGTTTTAAGTTTTTAATAGTTTAACATTTAGACTTTACATATTTTAACTGTAAGTAATTTTTCTTATAAAATAAATCTTTATATACCAATTCTTTATTATGTCAATAATTATTTTTGTTTTACTGTTGTTTGCAAAATGTTTATATTAGTGTTGTAAGAACATAGTATATTACAGTTCGTCGAGGTGGACATTTTAAGAATGTGGCGCTTAGTTGACTAGTTGCAACAGGGGTTTTTTTTTTTAAGTGAAAAATATCCAATAATTATTGGGATTTTTTTTAGGTATACCCTACGTAGTGTAATTATACAGCAAACGGGAATTAATGAAAAGCTAGTAGATCACTTAAAAGAACTTTGTAGAAAAAACACTTAAAGTTGAAAATTTGAGTAATAGACTGATTCCGGGCTTATTACTCAGGGTGCCTGGAGTTTTTAATTTAATCGTGGTAGAAATCGTTTTAAAAATATTATGTAATTATTTTGTAAAGTTTTATTGTTAGAGCTTGCTTGTTGTCCGCTTTAAAAAGGGAAATGGAAATTTAAAACAGGAAAAGCAGATAAGCAAGGTGGGACTAAAACAATTGTAAAGTACTAGCGTGAACAGGAATTATGTTTTTAACGTCACGTTATTATTCCAACCACACCGGGACGGTAAATATTAGTATGTTGAGGTTAAGAAAAAAAAACTTTAAACAGAAAATTTTGTATTTTTTTGATATAACTTGTTTTCTGGTGGAATTAATTTACTTTTATTATTTGGAAAGCTTAAAAAATATTATATATTGGATAGTGAGCGATTAGAACCTGGTGATTGCAATTATTGGAAGGCGACGGATTCTTTAAATTAAGGCCAAAGGGAGAATAACTCCGCTCCGGTGAACACTTTTACTCCAAAAATTTAGTTTAAGATGAAAAACATAAACGATTAGATTAAAGAGCTGGAAAAAAGGGCGCACTCGTTTAGTTTACCTTTAACAATTTAAAAAAGGAAATATGAGCAGATTAAAACTTTTATTGGTAGCTAAGTTAAAACGTTCTATTCACTATAAATTTATGGTACAAGTGGGGAGTCAGAAAGACTCGAAAAACTTGCAAAGCAGGCCTTCACGAGCAGTGCATAATAAAGAATTTTTAAGTCAAAAAACTGTGTCACATTTGTTAGGTAGAGAGGAGTTAATTTGTAATTCCTGCAGTTATGAGTAGTTAATTTACTGTCGCTTATGATAGAAGGAGGCGTCCTTTAGATTTCTTGGTAATCTTAAATTTCTAGTATATATGTTTTCAAACCTCCAATATGCTTATCTTAGTTAAAATGAGTGCTAAGCTACTTAATGATTTGATTCTAGTCTTTTCCTTTTACAAAGTACTTACAGTTCCACAGGCTACACATTAGAAAGTGCATTGGGTTTTACGACAACCGTTAAGTTATTAGGTTTCATAAGATTACCTTATGTTTTTTTGCTCTATAGAAGAAAAGGTAACAGCACATTGTATTTTTCTTTTATGGCTACCTATAAACCAGTTTGGCTAAGTTACGATCTGTTTAAATTACACATAAAGAGGGGTGTTAGTAATAAATAACTCGTACAATTCCATCTACAAAACTTGTTCAGTGACAGAAGGGTCGGTCCCTTCAATATTGCACACTTGTGTTTCAGACCAGGAAGTTTATTCTAAATATATATGGCTACAGCTACTCATCGTATACATTTTTTAAACTATACTTTTCAATTGCCTCTAACCACTAAAGTTTTCGAAATTTTAAAAACAAGTATGATTCAAGTTAAAAACCTCTATTCTTGTTATTTTAAATATATCTCTTTGTTTAAAAACAAATGATAAACGACAAGGTTTTTGTAACTTTTCGATCTTCATATAGCGTGTTGTATATATATGCACTTCTTCCTTAGTCTTCTTTTCCTTTTTCTCAAGTAATCTACGCACCAATATAGTGTTATAGGTGGAGTTGCTATTTAAAGTCCCCTAACCCCTCAATTATTAACTTTTCTATTTAAGACACCAAAAGCTACTCCAATTCAAACTTTTTTGTTCGCATTATTATAACATGCTTATGTTCTATTATTTTCTTAAAGATTTAAAGCTTTCTTATAGATAACAAAGCGTATATACTTTTTTCGCACTCTGTCCCAAGGGATCATAATTTATTATCGAAATCCCTTCCCTAAGTTGAGTCCGTATGCCCGACCCGGCATACTCTCTGGAAGAAGTATGATAACTGCTTTAAAGGGCGCAGAAAAATATCACTTTGGGGCTTCCACCGTCTGAGCCTGTTTAATGAAATGCTGTGGCGTCACTGGCTAGCTTATATATTAATAGAGAATTTTGTAGCCCTTAATTTATGGCCACTAACCGCTTGAATGCGTAAAACCATCATACCGGGATAGAGAGTTGTCGTCAAAGGAGATGGGACCCACGACCTTGGTATCCACGTCAATGCTCACCACTGAGCTACGACGACAACCATCTTTACCAGTATGATGGTTTCACGTGTTTAACCTGTTAGCCACTCACTAGATACAAACCTCTCAAGATGTAGGAAGTTAGCACCTACCAAAAATCTCAAGCTAACCTGCAGGTTTTACCATTTTTAATAATTCTTACCTTTCGAAGATTTAGTTGGCCTCCTCATGTAACTAACACCGGTTATCCCCACTCTGTACGGGCTCGCCTGAGGAAGGTAGCATAATCAAGTTTCTTTGTATTAAAAGTCAGAAGCGCTTTCGAGAATCAAATAGGATTCTAGTTAAATCTTGCCATAAGTTAGTTTTCTAACTAGAAAAAAACAACTTACTCAAAGGGCTAACTACCTTTCAGCTTCCTTAGTTGGGAGTTTTCACGCAACATACTGGTATCCAGCTAATATCGTTTATTCTAATACGCGAGTTAGGCAGAATTTTTCCACTCTTGGGAGAATTTCTTATGAGATTGACTAAGTTGGTGAAATAAGTCTTTGTTCAGCGAGAGGAGCAATGAACGAAAGCAAAAAAGAGGGACTGTTCCCTTTTAAGTAGTGACTAAAACACTATGCCTCATTCGTGGGCCACTAGTGTAGGCATAGAGCTAAGCGATTTTGACAGTGACCTGAATAGAATATTATCGAATAGTACTTAGATAAGAATACACATTGATAGAAAAGGTGTAAATGTTCAATTCACATCATCGGACGAGAGCTAGAAAGTTGGGAAGGGGCGCCCCATGAGCTTACACCCAAAGAGGAAAAAACCAAAATAATTTACATAAATAAAATAATGATATAATGATAAGAGTTAATAAATTATAATAAATATTTATTTGTTAAAAAGATTAAAGTTTATTATAATAGCATTTAAATTAAATAGTACATATAAAAATGGGACGCTCACATTATGAAATTTTCTTTAAAATGTAGTTTTTTTTTGCTGAGTTATTTACTTTAGGTGTCTTCTAATCGTAATGATATGTTATTAACTTCATACAGTTAAAGTTTTGCCTATAGAAGAAAGAAGGTCTTAGCTAGTGATTCTTAACTAATAATATTTGCTTAATCTTCTTTTTTCCATGGTTTGATACGTAAGGAACCAGATATTAAAATTCTTTAGGTCTGCCTTGAGGCTAACATTTCTATAAAATTTTAGCGATTTTAAAAGGTTTTTTTAGCTTTTTCCCCGACTTTTAATTTTTAAGTAATACTAGGTGTTATTACCTACGTAAAGAGTTCAATCTTTTGTGTGAATTTTAAATATATTAAAAATATAACGACTTTATTGAAAGGAAAACGCCACCAATAGCCTTGGTAGTGCATTAAACGATGCGAAAGTTTCTCACCTGCGAAAGCAAGTACAAGCAAACGCCAAAAATAGGCCATAAAGTGCAAACTATAAGTTTTATAGATCGGATATAATACTTGAAATTTAAGAAATTGAAAATTTACCATCTAGAGGTTTTTATTCACCGACACGATCTTACAAGTTCACAGGCCCTTTTTATGTCACACAGACATGTTTGTATTTCGTCTTAAACCATCAGTATCGTTTGTAACAAATACAATAAAATTTAAAAAACGACTGTAAACCGCTTTTTAGTCGTTAAACTTTCAGTAAAAAATCTTTTCAAATTTTCCTTTTTATAAAGATATTACGCGGTACATGATGTCTTCAAATCACAAAAAGAAAGGTCGGTTTAAAACCGTCAAATGTGGAGTCTTGCCTTTTTTAACCCATATAGAATATTTAAGTGGGTGACGTTAGACTATGCACGAATACTAGGAGAAATAATGATAGGTTTTTAGTGGGTTTTATTTATAAAGGGTTATTAGAAGTAAACTTATGGGAAGCTTCGATTAAGAAGGTAAGATCGAGATATTTCGGGAATTTGATACGAAGGGCGTAGCCTTGCACTTGACATAGTGGATGATTAAGATAGAAATTAGAAAAACTTTATTTTCCCTGTGATTATCTTATTACCTCTCCACAGTACCTTTTTAACGGAAAGGGACAGAAATTATGACAGCTGTGAATAAATTGACTTAACATTCTGAAGTCTACAAGCTAGAATTTAAAATATTACCTGATACTTTGAAATTACTAAATAGATGGAAATAAAAGCTAATAAAAAAGGTGGTTTGTTTGCTATAGAATACGCCATGGAGGCACCAATTGTCAAATGGTGGCGGCGTTCCAAAATTATTACTCTTTCCCCATGTGTGTTCAATTTCCAAGTTTAGCTACAGGGTATCCTTGAGGGATTTTTAGAAAAATACACCACCAATTGTAGCTGCTGTAAAGAGAACGAAGAAGAGTTGTCCTGCACGTTTATATAAGGGCTTTCATTATATTAAAGAAAGGATATAAGCTGTGATAGCAGATAAATAGAGGCAAAATTAGATGTACAAAGTACCAAGACTAACTATAAAAAATCGAAAAAGGGCGTTAAGCAGTTTTTATAAAAGGAATTATCCAAGTATATATCCTGTCGCGTCGAAACGCTGGGCTGTGAATGGGACCTGCACAACTCAACTTCTTACATGGAATTTGCGATAAATACTTAATCTATTTACATAGCGATTTATTTAAAATATACTTATAATATTAAAAAACTTTACGTAAATTATGACTACTGACCTTATATTACAGACTTTGTATATATTATATTTTTTATTTTTTTATTTTTATATATTCTTTTCTTTTAATTTCTATTTTTTTTTAAAAATATATATTTATCTATATATTAATTATGAGTCCTTCCTCCGAAGAAGAGCTTCGAACAATAATTGCTAACTTATTGGCTATAAAAGAAAAACTCAGAAAAGCGTTAGATTCTACAACGACAAATCTTCTTGAAGTTACTAAAATCACTTAGGACTAAAATAAGTTTTAAGGCGAAAGGAGCCTTTTGATAACATAACTAACAACAATAATATATTTTCGGTCTTACAAATTCGAGATCAGCCAGATGCTTCCGAAGTGGACTAGAAGATGGCAAGACTTTAAAGGTTACAAAAGACGGGTCTAGACGGTGAAATAGCTAATATTAAGGATAATAGTAGTAGTAGCAATAATCTTATGACTAAAGTCCCCATAATAGCGTCATTAATAATAATGTAACTGTTAGCAATAACAGTGATAGCAAAAATAATATATATAGTAATAAAAAATAGAAATATTAGTAATAGCAATTATAGTAATAAGTTTATAAAAAAAAATAACAATAGCTCCAGTGAGGGTAGCCATAACGTGAAAGTCATATGAGACTTATAGAAGTCCTTAAGAGCTTTACATGACATCGTTGACATAGAGATGGGCAGCTCTTCTGACACTGCCCCTATTATTAATGAACGACCGTCTACTGCGGTACCCTTCCCCCTGCGAATTCGTTAAGAGAAAATTTCTCTTATTACCCCTTGTAATAACAAAAGTGACCTTCTTGTACCACTTTTGCAATTCAACGGTGCCTTGGTCCCGAGGTCAAGAGATTCGCGTCTTGGATTTAAAATATTTTTTCGATAATAGCTGAAGAATACCACGTGATCGCAGAGATAATGCGCAAGCAGGAATTACAAAATTTTACCTATCATTTACCTGGAAATAAGCCATACAAATTTTTTATCCGTAAAATTTATTGTGAACTCGGCGTTTCCACTGCCGAGGCGAATTTGCGCGCGCAAGGCATTCACCTCCCTCCTTGTGGCGGGGGTGCACGCGGAGGTCACTGTCAGTGTGAGCGGAAGAATCGTCGTTACCATTAGTGCTGGTGTATATACCCATGACGGAACGTCAAAAGCTATTAGTGTGTAGACTATTTTTTATCTTCAAATCGAAATAGAAGAACTTCGAAAAAGCAATCGCGTTGGCCAGTGCAATGCCAGATCTTTGGCCATGCTGCAAACTTTTCCGCTGAGGTACCTCGGTGTACTAAATGCGATGAGGGTCATTTGGTCGAGGGGCGTACCAAATCACGAGACTAGTCCGGTAGACGTGCGAATTGCGGCAAGGCATACCGCCAACTACCGGGACTTTAAATGTTACTCGCAGAGGCCTTTAGCAGCTGACCAACCTACGCGACCACGACACCCGATTACCACCTCGGATGCTATCAGTATCCCATCTATATCCTATGCTTCCCGTCTGAGAACGAGACCGCACTAAGCGCCCCCTGCGGATAATCTTACTAACATAGATAAAGCTGAAATAGTTAATCAACAACAACAAGAACAGCGATCGCAACCGACACTCTAAGGCGGCTGTTACCTATATTGATGACGAATCTCTCAACCATGCTCAAAACCATGAAAAGCTTAGATTTTGTATGCAATGTCTTTTAAAATTCAAAAGCTTAATCACATCAGATTACTGTTTTGGAACACGGAGGGCATCCAGAAAAAAAACAATTTTTAGGAGTTAATGCAGCATGAGAGAATAGATATTTGTACTGCCAGCGAACACAACTCTCCCCTAATGTACCATTCAGCATCTGCAACTTTGAGACGTAACGCCAGGATCAGTTGTGCACCGGTGGTGGAGTAGCTATTCTTGTTATGCGAGGCATCCAACATTATTTAACAGCTCTGCAAGAATCGAGGTATTTATTTTTATCCTTAACCTGTTTAGATAGGAGCCCATTACTTACCAGCCAGCCCCTCCCATTGTTCGATCTTGACGCTCTTCTAGAGCATGAATTACCGGCCATTCTATGCGGGGATTTTAACTGTAAACATCCTGCGTAGAACAGCCGGGTTGCAAATTGGGGGCTACTCCCTTGAGACTTAGGCTGAGGAACGCGGTCTAGAGCACAGTTGCCAGTACTCATGACGAGGAAGATAGGCACATTGGGCGTGTTAGATATCGCCGTGTTAAAAAATATATGCCTTTCAACGGCTATTGACTCGCTAAAAGAATCGTCTTCGGATCAACTACCTGTGCTGCACGAAATGGGCGACGAAAAGGAAGAAATAAATAACATTCTTCCGAGCTTAAGCGAATTGGAACAAATTCACCGAAATTGCTCGAGTAGACGCCCCCATACAATGCCACTCGAAACTCTTGCTAAACTAAAAAACGGTGCTTTTGTCGAATTTGAGCGCTCGGTGACAGAAGCTAACAGCAAAGCCACGACGACACGTGAAACCCTCCTGAAGAACTAAAGGCATTAATATGCGAGCGTCAATAACACATCTTAGTAGTCATGGCCTTTCAACGCGTAAAAGACAAATAGGTGTTAATTGTCTTCATCAGTACATCAGGAAAAAGCTGATGGCGCATATAAACTGCCAGAGGAAGGTCGTGCTTTCTTCGGAAAATTTGTCAAGCGAGCTAAGAATCATGGGCATCCAACTCGACCACAACTTCGCCACGACGATACCATAGCCGGACGCGTTGAAGATAACGCACAACTTTTTGCTGATCATCTAGTTGCTCAGTGTTCGCCGTCTACCCCCTCAACCGTCGATGACGCTTCCTTGTGCCTAATCTATTCCCGACCGATACAACTGATTTTCTGGAGCGGTCTACCACAGATGAGTACATGACAATTGTCAAAATTACTACCAAAGCGAAAGGCGTCCGGACTTGACGGCATTACTAATCTGAAGTTTTAAAAACTGGTAGAGGAGGCTATGAATCTTCTGTGCTGCCTCGTCAACTTGGTGAAAACCTTCTGCTATTTTCATGGGCAGTTGAGTTAAAATAGCGGTAGTCGTGTTGTTACCAAAGATATCGCAATCAGAGCCTCACAAATATCGGCCCCTCAGCCTTTTGTCGGCAGTGGGTTTAGATAGCTGAAGCAGTGATACTTAATCCTTTAAAGGCGATTGTGGACGCTTGTAGAATTTTATAGGAATTTAACAAGGGATTTCGCAAGGGACACTCCACGACCCAACAAATTCTTCGCCTAACCGAGTGGACGACCAGAGCCTTGAATTTCAATAAAGCCACCGGCACTATCTTTCTTTATGTCGAGAAGGCTTTTATACGAGTATGTCATGGTGGTCTGTTAAGCAAGCTACATGTCTCAGCGATACCACGCTGTCTTCAAGAAGTTCTTAAGTCGTACCTAACCTGTCGGGTCTTCAATGTGCAAGTAGGCGCTGCACTGTCGTCGCCTCGCCATCTTACAACGGAACTCCCGTAAAGCTCTCTTCTATCACCGCTGCTGTTACATCCCTCTCCCACGACTCCCTCACATCGAGCCGCTCTTTACGCCATTATTACGATGAGTTATTCGTCGTCAAAGTCACCCATTACTTCAGCCCATACAACTTTATTTCGAAGTGCTTGCTAGCTAGTGTCATCAACGGGACCTTTCCTTCAACGCAACAAAGAGAAAAACGCTTCTTATAACCAAGTAAAGTCTTGCCTACCGACACCGTTGATTCTCAACGGCTTGAAAGTTCCGGGGTGCTCTTAGGTGAAATACCTGGGGTCATTATTAATTTTAAGTTATTGTGGGGTCAAAAGTCAAGATGTGGACCCAAAAGCTAAATTTTCTATTGGGTAAAAGTAAACTTTGGTTGCGCCATAGGCGAAGACTTTCTGTGCTGTGCATTCGACCGATTATGGCATACGCATCTGTTGCCTGGGCCTACAACTTATCGGCAGTATTCTCCTCGCTTTATGCGACAAAATAAACTGCTGCGCCTTTTAACTAACGCGCGCCCTGCTTTGTGCGTTAAGATACCCTCCACCACGAACTACAGATTGAGTTGCTGGTCACAATCTTGATAATTAATGCTGTCACCCTCTACGAACGGATAGCTGGACACGCTTATCGTTTTTCTGTGGAAAAACTTTCGAGTGATGGACGGCTCTCGATTCCTCCATTTCACTTAACTTTTAAAAGCTAATCTAATTTAAGGATTTAAATTAAACATAAAGGAACAATGAGTCACTTAAATCATATTTTTTTACAGAAATGTTTATAATAATTATAGGTGTAAGTGATCTTTACAATACTTCCAAAACCAGTAGGTCATTCAGATAAGAACTTACAATAAACTTTAAAAAGCTGATAAGAGAATTTTGACAGTATGTATACAAGTCAGGGGTAAAATATCGGTTTCCCTGAGATTCCATAATTTAAGCTTGTAAATTATCTATTAATTTCTCAGTAGGGAATCATTATTAAGCAAATAATTTTAATAACACACTTATAATAATAAGCACAATGTGTTGTGATGTATAAAAATTATTCTGCTTCAAGCGCTAATTTATATAACAGGAGAAGCATTATTGTAGCCCACTTTTTATTGATTAGATAACTTTTATGCTGCACTAGATTGAAGCAATACAACTTTTTAATAGAATTCTATTACCAGCTGTGGGGAGTAACACGAATAAACGTTGTTTATCACCAAATATGGTGTCTTTGCCCTTGTACTATGGCATGCCCTATAAGTAGAAAGCATTAGAGTATGAAGTGCTCTACAGCCTTGTGCCGGTTTTGCAGATGAGTTTTTCTGAGCTTTGTATTCGCTTTTTCTATATCATATTATTAATTAAAGTATCAGCTTATAATTTTAATGAAACAGGTGTTATTTTAAAGGAGAATTACGAAGAACCCCAACCGCTGGTGAGTGATTCATCGACTAAATTTAACAATACGTTTGTAAACTCTGGAAGGGTAAGTATTTTTGATCAGCCTTCTTATGAAAAAAAGTTTCAAAAGTGTAAGCAGCAGTTTATGCAAGGACTTCAACTACTTAAAAAAAAATTTATAAATGAAGGTTTAAGGATATTAACTGAGCTGGCAGAGGCTAAAAACTATATTCCCGCCTCGGAATTTCTTGCTCAAGAATATTTATTTGGAACTATATTAGAGCAAAATATATCTAAAGCAATTTTCTTGCTTTCTAGTTTGGCTACTAAAGGAAGCTGTCGCGCTCAATTGTTACTCGGCTTCTGCTATTCCAACGGAATTGGCGTTCGAGTGGACATTGAGAAAGCTATTATATATTACCACTTGGCGGCTTTGGCTGGTGATATTTACGCTACCATGATAATGGGTTACCGCTATAAATTTGGACTCAATGTTGAAGAAAATTGTGAACTGTCGTTAAAATTTTATCGGCGCGTGGCTGATAAAGTGGCTTTAGATATAAAAGAAAAGACGATTAAGTTATATGAGCAAGTTCGTATAGCTGATAAAATGGAAAAAATAAAACTTGGAGAGAGCCACGACGATGAAATTATTCAATACTATCTTTATCAAGCCGATTTGGGTGATGTCTCTTCCCAAGTCATTATAGGACGGTTGTTTTACTATGGAAGTCACGGAGTTGACGTAAACTATGAAAAAGCTTTCGAGTATTTTCAAAAAGCCGCTCAGCTTGGGAATACACAGGCTAAAGCTTTCCTTGGAGAAATGTATCTTTGGGGTCATGGTGTTTTACAGGATAACAAAACGGCACTGAAGTTTTTTGAAGAAAGTGTGATGGAAAATGATCCCACTGGCCTAAACAATTTGGGACTTATGTACTTACATGGCATAGAGGTGAAACAAGACCTTAATCGAGCTTATGAGCTATTTACCTCCTCAGAGAAACAGGGGCATCCCCAAGCTCAACTTAATCTTGGCCTTATGCATTACAACGGGTTCGGTACTTCTAAAAATATTCCTAGAGCTTTAAACTTGCTACAAAAGTCCGCGCTATCTGGAAATATTCTTGCCCAATATAACATTGCCGCAATACTTCAAGAGGAGAAAGTGCCTTTTTCTTGTCAGTTAACCAGTGTCTATTATAAAAGTGTATGCGAAAAGGGTACCTGGTCTAGGCTTTTCGAAGAAGCTTTAAAAGCTTACGAAAGAAAAGAGTATCTGCTGGCTATGACAAGGTACCTTTTCTTAGCCGAGCTGGGATATGAAGTTGCTCAGCATAACGTAGCTCACATTTTAGATTCGGGTATTACAACATTTCTCGCTCCTTATATTGAAAGTAAATACGCGCTTACGTCTTGGTTTCGCCTGGCCATTCAAGAAAACCCAATTGCCCATCTTAAAATAGGTGATTACTTTTACTATGGAAAAGGTGTTCCTGTCAACTATAAGAAGGCAGCTTTTTATTATCAACTCGCTGCCTCCAACAATGCTCAAGCTATGTTCAACATTGGGTATATGTATGAGCACGGAATAGGGCGGCCTTTAGACTATCATCTCGCTAAGCGCTACTATGACATGGTACTGGAGATAGAGCCAAAGGCTTACGCGGTTATATTTATACCACGAATTATATTACAAATAAAACTTTACTTTTCAGAGCAAGTATTTAAAAAATATGGGTTTCAACGTAAACAGAAACAAGAAAACTACGAAAAACCTAAATTAGTTGGTGGAATGGTAGACGAGAAAAAACTGAATGATTTGCTTGGTTATGTATTTAACGCAGCGGTGGGATTAGATGTAGACGTGGACTACATCTGGATCACACTACTAGTGCTATCCTTAACTTTACTGATCCGTGTACGACAAATTTTATTTCGTTAACTTTAAGTATTGTTTCCATTCATCTTCACGAAATAAATATTTTTTGAAAATTAGTAGATGGCTTAACGTAAATCGCAACAAAACAAGGCTCTTCTTACATTGTTATTAGCCTTAATAAAACGAGTTTTCCTGCTTTATTATAAATATATATATTTATTACTATTAATACCATGGGCAGTAAAAAAGGTAATACCTTTTTTAAAAAGGCGCCCTGTAGTAGTAACTTAACAAATATAACGTCAATGCAAGCGCTAGTAGCAGAGAGAATAATAACTTATTAAAAAGTGTAATACTGCTTAGTGCTTTGATCCTCGCCAACATATTCAAGCGACGCTATAATTATATTTCCACCAAATAAAATAATATTTTTTAAGTAAAGACTTACACTATAAGAATCAATGCTAACAAATTTAGGATCTTTTGAAAGACCCGTCTCAGGATCAATGTTAGCTTTTTGCAGTTTAAAACGAAATAGAAGCAAACGAGCCTGAAAAGAAACATCAGAATTTGTATAGGTTACGTAATTTTTTGAAGTTACTAATAATCAAAAGATAGAAATAAAGATAGCCTCATCAAAAGAAATGTTATTATCGTGCATAATCCTTTTAATTAAGTACTTGTCGTCATCAAGCCCTGCGCGCCTATCCTGTTATATAATTGAATTTAGTATTATAAACAAAATACTGGGTAGGAAACAAAAAAAGTTACAACCACCATAACTAATATGTCTAACTTACTCAGCGCTAATTCATACAAAAGTATTTTAAGAAAAAAATTAACAAAATTTTTTATATTTTCGTCAAGGCTAAAACTGGTGCTCGTTAGACCTTCGTCTTTATCACAGAGGAATGTACTCCTTTCTAGGTGTTGTGCTTCATGCATTATCAAAAATAAATGGCCCCCCACCCCCCACATACAAGGATTTTAAAATTACAAAAAATAAGTAGTAACGGGGCTACGGTGTAATCTGCAAAAACGAATTTCTCTGATAGCACTACAGCCCTCATAACTTCTAAATGGTTCCATTTTCGGCAGCTCCGAAGGTGTAATTGATTCTGTTTCAGTGCACTTTTTCTTAAGATTTCGTAATTTTTGTTGTGAAAATAAGGAAACTTTAATTTTAATAATATAAACGTTGTTCAGAGCTAAGATGGAGGTAAAAGCAGTTTCTAAGTGTAAAACGCTGAAATTTTTTCCAAAAAAAAGGGAAATGAAGTAAATTACTTAATTGTTAATATATACATATTAACATTACCTAGATCTATAAAGAAGGTTAGTTTTAATTTATTGGTTGCCAAGCTCAGTTAAAATAGTTAAACTTAAAATTCCTTATAGTAATAACTAAACCACCTTGCTGCTTAGCGCACGTTTCCAAATTTGGCTGCTGTTGGGTGCCGTAAAAAACATTTCCAAGGCTTTTTGACCGATAACGTAAAGTGCACTGCACTATCTCATACCTTTATTAAAAGTCTTCTTAAACGGTATACAATTGCATACTAAAAAGATTATTCTTCTTGAAATCTACGCATAGTTAAACACTAAATTATGGAATTTAACTACAAGAACTCCTCATCTTGTATAGTGTCGAAGAAGCATTTGATAAAGTTTTACAGGAAGTCTCCGTAGCAATAATTGGTTTTAAAAAATTGAAAATGATTAATTGTAACTTCGCAATATTTAAAGTCCCCAAAGAAATGTGGAATGAAATGGAATCCTAATAGTTTATTACAAACACCAAAAATATAAATCTGTTTTAACATAATTTAGCGGATAAAAATGTTTTTTTTTTAGATATCATGCGATGGCATGCTGTTAGCTATTTATCAGTTATTCTAACACACTAACCCTAAAGTTCGAAACCAATATATTTTTTGCTATCTTTTATTTATTACTGTCTTTTCCTGGACTCGATCGAGTTAAAAGCTTCAAATACTCGAGCTCTTAATCAAGGATAATTACATATTTCCCCTCAGTCGTATTTTTGCGCATCCGAATTTTATAAGGAGAGCGCGCCATACAAAATAGCCTCTGTGGTCACCCGCCGCAGTGAAAACCAAGCTCCTGGAGATTTAACTTCTCAACTTGGACGAAGAAGTGCTTTTCGCTGGTGCGTTCTTCTCATGCTATTTGTTAGCCCTTGAAAATAGTTTATTAGAACTTACGAAGGCGAGGTTTAATAAGGAACCAGCAAAGACCGAAAAAGAGAGTCACTTCGGCTGGATCGAAACCACTACCTTGAGTATGCGCGTCAGTGCTCTTAACCGCTGAGCTACGACGGCAACTCTCGATCCCGCAACATCCGCGCACATGTCAAGAACGGGCATTTCAGCCATCTTCAACATAGCCATTTTTAAGGACATATACACCAGTCGATATCAGTGGCAGAGCTGCATGAGCTCGGGCGCCCTGCCCGTCTTATTGAAATAAGGCGAAGGCAAAGCTACAGCGACTCTGGACAGTCATTCACGGACTGGACAAAATGCACAGCTGCGATGGAAGCATCACTATCCCCCACCCCTTATCCCCCTGCGACTCCCTCTCTATTAGAAGACGCAGTTGTTAGCTTTGTGGTCGCACTGACAGAAAGCACATGCTGCCGCGAAGTCACATATCGCCCTGGCCGTCAACAGGATTATTTATTAAACCTTATTCATCAGCGTCGCCGGTTTAATACGCCTGGCCGCTGCTACGCAAAACCTCGACGACGAACTGATTCTAAACCGTCTTCACCGACACATTAGAAAGGAACTGACCGCCTTTCACAATAATTGCTGGGAGGAGAAACTGTAGGACATGTCTGTGGCAGCCAAAGAAGGAGGGTCATCTTTTTGGCGCTTCGTCAAACTTATTAAAAATCGTTGCCAAACACCACCTCCTCCACTCAATAATAGCGTGATAATGGCGGAAAGCAAAGAAGACGGGGGACGCTCTTTGCCAACCATCTAACTGCTCATTGCGTATGGTCTCCAACTTGGGCAGCCTTTGAGGATGAAGGTAAGACACCTCAGGACCCCTCAATTATTGTTGTCGGACTTATTAAATTGAGCTCACCTAAAGAAATCACTGATATAATTCTGCACTTTCACGACGGAAAGCATCCAATCATGACGGTATTATTAACGAAATGCTAAAAAAGATGACGTCGGTGGAGATTAACCAACTCGCTTGTTTTGCAACTTCTGCAATGTCGTTGGCTCCTACCCAACTCGATTGTAAATGGCCGCTGTCGTGATGCTTCAGAGCTTCGGTGAACTTCAGCAAATATCACCTTGATAGCCTTCTTTAAGCGGTGGGCAAAAACGTGGAGGCGGTTCCACTACGCAGGCTGGAAGAGTTTGTAAAAACACATAGAGTGCTTCCAGGGTTTCAATTTGAATTCCGAAGAGGTCAGTCGAGGGCGTCGTCTTTCTCGACGTTAAAAAGGCCTTTGACCACGTAGGGCGCTAGGGTCTCCTACGCAAACTACGCACATTAGGTACTCCGTGAGCTCTCTACAGCATACTTGTGTCATTTCTATGCGGACGCACCTTTCGAGTAAGGGAGAAGGCTGCGCTGTTGTCATAAAGGCGACTGACACTGGTGTTTTGAAAGGCTATCTGCTGTTACCCGTACTCTTGGCGTTATACATGCGAGATATCCAACTACCCGCGAACCCTCACTCCCGCGTTGCGCTCTATACCGATGAGGCTACATTTTACCCGTCTTCAAAAAGCCCCTCATTTTTACGGCAGAACCTGCTGCGTTATTTGGAAACATTTGCCAACTGGTGCCTTCGAGTAAACATTTACGGAACCAAGTGCAAATCCTCATCTCAAGAAGATGCATCACGCTACCCACGCCTCTAACCCTCAAAGGTGTTAAGATTCCATGGGGCTCTCAGGCCAAATGCTTAGGCGTCATCATCGATAGGCGACTAACTTGGAGGTAACACGAAGAGTACGTTGCGAGTAAGGTCAAAGCAGCAAGGCACGTACTCTATCTGCTGCTGTGTGCTTAAGCACAACTGCACAATAAACTGCACCTTTATAAGTATACGTGCACCCTATTATGCCCTCTGCATCTGAGGCTTGGACATGAAAACCCGTCGGCGGTTACACCCCTGCAGACGCAGCAAATACAGGCTCCTACAACTAATGTCAAGGCCCCTTATTTCGTGCTAAACGATAAGTTACATAATGACGTGCTTTTGGGGCAACTTAAAGGCTTTTTACGAAATGCAACTTTTTTAATTTCTTTTGAACGTGTTAGTAGGCATTTAAACTAACAGTGGATTAAGAACTTACATACGAACTTTTAAAAAGTTCACGCTTTCGAAACTCCGCGATGCGCCTTAAGCGCACAATTACATTTTTGTTATACCTCCTCTAACACTTATGTAGAAAGTCTATTGTGAGGTGCTCTGTCGATACTGGATACAGTCTAAGCCTAATAATATAAATTATTTGCGGGACCAAGCAATCTGCGCTCGATAATATTACCGGGCATCTGCCCATTTCATTTATTAAAAAAACTCTCGATCCCACTATGATAATTTTGCTGTTACAGTTATTATACTCTTTCTTGAGAAGAGAACACGGAATTGACGCTAGGTCTATACTAAGATGAAGTGCATATGCTAGTTAAAAACGGGTAATCTGGGCCTAGACTCTTATGTTAACCCACCAAAAACTACTTGAGAAAATTTTTTAACTTACATCTTAGAATTTAAAAAAGCACAGCCTGCAAGATAATTTTGATTATAGTTATAATACATTATTATATATATCTTATAAAAAATAAGACTTTAAGTCTAATTATTCAGAAAGCTCAAAGTTAGGGGTACATCTAAGAAGTTTTTTGGCTTCATAACATTTACGAACCTTATGATGGATTTAAAGCTAACACAAAACAAAAATACCTTTAAGGAGGTGGCAAAAAATCTAATACCCTTTTTAAAAGACTTGGATGTTTTAGGAATAATTTTTGACAATTCCGGTACTTAAGCTGTAGTTTTTGGTACT